GCTTGTGGAAGAAATTAAGGCTGTTGATCCTTGCTTTACCAAAAACATAGTAAATGGGAAGGTGACAAAAAAATACAAAATGAAATATATTACAAGTTAGGTTTTCGGAATCCGTAGGAGATCTCTCATGTCAACGTCAAAGAAAATGAAAAAAGTTTTGCATAAGAGACTTCCAGAAATACAAGAAGAAATAAAAACAGCAGTTTTAACGTTTTTAAACAGAGGAGACAACTAGTCTGTAATGCCAGGGAAAGCAGATTATAAAACTGTTAGCGGTCAGCAGAAACTTAAAAAAAAAATTATCAGATCACATGAACAATCTGTTTCTCAAGTTTAGGTCAGAGAATTTAACTATCAAACTTTCTTATTTAAGATTTTGTAAATATCGTCCGATAAATTTCTCATTAGTTTCATATGCTACCCGTAACATATGCTTATGTATCAAGCACCAAAACATGGCTTTTAAATTACGCTGTCTACATAAAATCGGTATAATTAATTGCGACAGTCCGGATGCTTTTGTTTCAATATGATGAATGGTCTCGAGTAAATACCGACGCTGGACAAAGAATGAACATTGTTTCAAAATCAAGTGATAGAGCCAGTTTCATAAAACTTTTTAAACCACAACTTTTTGAGTTTAAAGAACATGTCAATAGAGTCAAAAACCAGTATCATGCATTACAAGATCTTAAGGCTAATCTCCGTCGGAATAATTTGATTGTGCAGATGGATTTTGCCGAAAACTTCAATTGCAAGACAGCTGATGAGGTGCAGTCGCCTAATTTAATAATTGCTATGTGAGCTTGCACCCTGTGGTAGTTTATTACAAAGTTAATGACACATTGCATCAGAAAAGTTTTACATTTATTTCCAATGACTTAAGCCATAATGCAACTTTCGTTTTTTCTGTAATCAAAAGGCTAGTTCCAATTCTCAAAACTATTAATTTAGATTTACAATGCATTCATTATTGGACAGATAGCCCAACATCTCAGTACAGAAGTAAACATATCTTCTCTATTATTAAAAAGCACAAGGATCATTTCAGAGTTGATTGCACATGGGATTACTTTGAGGCGGGCACGGGAAAGGTCCATGTGATGGAATAGATGGAACGGTAAAACGGTGCCCTGAACTGGCTATTAAACAAAGAAAATGTACTATACAGAGTGCGGATGACTTCTACACGTGGGCATCAAGTAGCAATATCTCTGAAGCCTTTAAATATATATCATAAGAGGATATAAGCCGATATTCCATCATTTTAAATGAAAACATTGCAAAAAACTGCAAACCTGTCAAAGGAACCTTAAAGCTGCACTCAGTTCGGAGGAACGGCAACTCCATCTGCATCAGAAACACATCGATCAACAGCTGCAACCAACTACTATCTTCCTGGATTATGAAGTTGCAGTAAGTAACACAGCTTAATATGAAGTATATCGTGGTATTACAGACAAATGTTGCTTCTATCATTATACCCAATTTATATTGAGAAAGGCACATGATACTGGTATTCAAACCCACTACAAGAACAACTATGACATCAACAGATTGGTTCTATGTGCAGCATTGCTCCTACCAATGTAGCATGTAGAGGATGTTCGGTTGAAAGCATTAGAAGAAATAGGAGAAACTAATACAAATATCAACACTTTAGAGTTAACTTTTACCGACTATGTCATAGAATACTGGGTTGAAGGTAACCCCTTAGAAGGATGGCGTCATAAACTGAAAAATCATGTATACAGAATCACCTACGCACAAACATCTTCATCTTGTTTTAGTATTTTAATTCCTAATGAAATAGAGACCCTCAATACATACAATTACCTACATTTTTACTATTATATGTAACATAAATGGTATTGAGTACACTTAAACGCTAAGTTTAAACTGGTTGTTAATTTATTAGCCCTAATCAATTTATGTTTTTATAACCCTTAATCTGTTACAAATTATTCAACCTATGCCAACATTTGTTTATACAATTTTATACCTACATTTCACAATGTTGGCATAGGTTGAATGAACCGTTCTTTTCATCACATGCATATCGGAACTAGGAAGCTAGGATAATAAAAAAGCTAAACTTAATAAATCATGACAAGCATTATACTTACTTTATCTAAAAATTACATTATTTATATACTACACGTGTTAATTTTGAATTTAATCGCATATACTTCCCGGTGTAAGAAGAGATTGTATCCCTTAGAGAGTTTACAATTTTGAATCATTACGTAATTCTAAAAAATAATTCGTGTCTTCTTTAGTAACTGAAGTATTATTGATTGTACTTTGATATAATCACGAGTCTCACGTACTTATCTATGATGATTATTCCATACACTGAATATTAAACGAATTCATACACCAAACAGAAAGGAGAGACACGATGATACAACAGCGATAGAAGGTCACTAAGATGAGCACAAGGATTATGTGTGAAATTGTATGAAAATGTCAAGTCCATAAGTATAATCAGGGAATTGAAATAGAATAAGCATGCATAAAGTTATGGCGGCATTCCCCTTCCATAGTAGAGACATCTTTTGAGCTTGCTTATGCGTTATTTTAATCATATTATGAATCATTTCTGGTCATAACTATTAATTTTGTCATTGGCAACGGCTAAATTATATTTAACACATTTTGCTTTTTGTATTTTAAGGTAAGGTGTTTGTTTGTTGTTTATCTTTGGGTTTTTTGTTGTTGTTTAAAAATAAGATGCAAAGAAAAAGCGAAATCACCAAAAACAAGCTGGACAAAACAGTTCACATCAACCACCAGCATCGACTCTTAATAACAGACATACAGACAAACAAAAAAGCAGCAAGGAACAACGCGAGGTCCAGATAGACTGGCTTGGTACACGCAAACATAGACTAGATAGGTGTCCGCATAAACCTTTCCCGTTACTTTTCCAAACTGCATGACGTAAAATTGATTTACTTTATGAAAAAGTCTGCACATCACTCAAACAAGGAAATAATAGGCAACACATAATTAGGACAGGGTAAAAATGTTGTTTGTTTTCGAAGTTGATGTTTTAAATTGGACATAAAAACCAAAAGACTTTTTTTTTCATTTTTGAACAATATTATATTGCAACATTGTTTTGTCACCCCAGTTCCTAGACCAAGGTTTTTTTGCAAACATTCAGATATCTCTGCTATTGCACCGTCAAATTTAAATAGACGTTCGGTAAAAACTTTGATATTACCTCTTTGCTTGTTTGAGAACTAATCAACTAAGATGGCTGTTAGTTTGAACTGTTTGTTGATATAATAACAGAAATACATCATTAATCATCTTTGTTTAAAAATTGTTCCCGAATAAAACACCGATTACAAAAGGTGACTGATGCTTAGGAATAATTTGTAAGTTATTATGGCACACTCAACGGAGTTCTACGTTTCTTTTTTTCTTTTCTTTCTTTTTATTACTGTTGAATTCTTCCACTTTTTTGTCCAGCTTATATCTCGGAATTGGATGAACAAATTGTTATGGAACTATACCATAATGTTAACCAGCATGTGCAGATTTGCAATCGGAGTATGGCATTTTCAAGATGGCGACCGATGCCATGGAAACTGCTAAAGGGCGAAAATTTTTATTTTTTTCATTTTAAGACCAACTGAATGAAACTTTATGGAAATGTTACCTGGTATGCTTAAATGTGCTGACAGTATTAAGAAATCCCAAAATAGCCGCCGTTGTCATGGAAACAGGGGGAATGTTTTACATTGACCATATGGAAAAATACATTAAAGTTGCATTTTCTTAAAGACCATTACTTCAAACTCAATAACACGTTATGGATATATAACATGGCATAGGCCAATGTGGTATCTGTCTTTAGAATTTAGGAAATGATGACCGTTACCATGGAAACAGCAAAAATGCTCAAAATTTCAAAATGCTCCAAACTTAATGACACTTTACAACAATATTCATTGGCATGTGTAGATGTGCTGTTAGACTGAGGAATTTTCAAAATGGCTGTCGTTACCTTGGCAATTGGGAGACGAGGGTGCCATCCGTTAATGCTCGCAATTACAAATCTAGTTGTGATAGTAATTGTTGTTTCAGTTGTGTTTCAAGTGATAATATAAACGTTAGCAATCGGGTTTGTTCTGTATCTAAAAAAAACAACATTCTATACAATTTGTTCAATTTTTTATAAAAAAAAAAGGGAGGATATGATCACCAATCAGACCACTATCCACCAAAGTATACTTATGTTTTCTTGTGTTGTAGTAGACGTTTGAAAGTTACTGAAGAGTTTTTAAGTATTTCTTATTTTTTCATGTAAAACTAGTTAGTTGTCATTGCATTTTTCTATATAGATTAAAAATAGTTTGTGTGAGTGTGTTAAATACTGAAAAAGTTAACAATACACCATTGTCCCCTTCAAAAAAATCCCAAGCAATATTTCATCAACTATTGTATAGTATGTTCATATTTCAAGAAATAACAAACCGAACGAAAGGTTTCTTTCTAAAAATCCTAAATATGACGGCGAATCAATATGTATCTATGATGAGTTTATTTGCATCGCGTTGTTACGTATGGCATTAAACTTTTTTAAACATACATAGAAGCAATACATGAACATATGTACATACATAAAAATTCAACATTCACACGATCCTGTTATCGATTGCACTACTATTAATTATAAATACTTGTTTAAAGATATTGGAATTTATTTCATTTCATTGAAAGTGCTAATGATTAAGGATTTTTAAAGTTGACTGTTGATCCCGGTAGTGGTACATTGTATGCTGATTTTAAACTGTAAATATAGGTTCCCCCATATGAACATAGACAGTAAAGTCAAGATAAAAAACACGAAAAACCAATCAGAACACAACTTAAATAAAATTGTCCAATATATTGTCAACATATGATCCAACGGCTATATCTGTTTATGTATATATACCGAGTTTTTAACTAGAAAGAGTTATATATTGAATGCTCAGATTTTAAAAATGAAAACGTTTTTTACATTATGTTTATTGTGTTTTGCAATTGGCAACATAGATGGAGTGCCGTTGTCTGATTTCTATCCTTTTGGAAATGAAACCAGTGATAGAAGGGCTCCAACAAACGATGATGGCTCAACGCAACCAATACCGGTCAGCAGCCTGTTTCCGTTATTTAATTACCAACACGACTCCTTAATTGTAAGTAAAGATTTTATCATTTTCCTTTCCTTTACTTCTACATCATTAAATACCATACAAACATTGAACAATATTGAAATTTGAAATAATTATAAAATATCATTACAATTTCCCAATCATACTATTAGGACTAGTCAGTAATTGAATGACCAAATAATGCACTAATTAGATAAATGCACACGAGTTGACATTAATTATTAATTAAAACCAACTATTCCTTTCCGCTCGTACTTTATCATGAAGAGAAGGATTATCATTCTCCTACATACACTAGCTGTTTGTTTTAGCTCAATAATTATAATACACTGTAATATGATCATGTATAAGAAAAAAACTTTATTATGAAAAGACGTAATAATAATAATAGTGAAATTAAGCGTATAATATAAAAATATGATTGCCAATGAGACAACTATCCACCAAAGTTCAAATAACGTGGAAGTAAGCAGTTATAGGCAACTGTACGGCCTTCAACAATGAGAAAAACCCATACTGTATAGTCGGCTTTAAAAAGCCCCGACATAAAAAAAAATGAAACAATTCAATTGAAAAAACTAACGGCCTAATTTATAACAAAACAATTAACGAAAAACAAATATGACAGACATGAACCATTGACAACCACTGCACTACAGGCTCCTGACTTGGGACAGGCACATAAAGAATGTGGCTTGGTTAAACATGTTTGTGAGCGCTCAACCTCCCCCTTACCTGGAACAGTGATGTTACAGCACAACATAAGAACAAACTATAAAAGCTCAACTTTTACTGCACCCAAAGAACATTCTTCTTAATCGTATACTAATCAAAAGCTCATCATGCTCATCGTGTGTACCTAATTGTTTTGTCCGGTCGTCATTTTTTTTATGTGCGCAATCAATGTCAAATTATCGTCAAAGGTCTAGAACGAACAGCTTCCTGTTTTTTATGATATCAGCTATGTTTTACATTCCGATTTTGGAATAACAAAGTAGTATATATGATAAAATTATATTTCAAATTCTTATTTTGGAATAACAAAGTTATATATATCATAGGTTTGAACGTTGTTTTCAATTTCGACTTGTTTATATTTTTTCGTTTGGGCTTGTATTATATTTTCCTTCGGGTTTATATGATCCGTTCATCCTATTTCGACTCTTCAAAATGCAAGAGTCTATCCTAAATTGAGGTAAATTTTATGGCCTTCCAAATACAGTTTAGATTCCTAACATCACTGAAGAGACATTGATTGTTGACATCCGGATATGGTGTACAAATTTTTGCACCCCATTTTTGCGTTATACCATTTTTTCCGCAAGTTTATTGTTTTCTGTTTAGTATTAAATTAACAGTTAAGATCTAGTTTGTTACATCTTGTGATACGTTTATTTGGCAATCGCCATGGCAGTCGGCAGGGTTTAAGAACATCAGTTGTTCGACCTGTTAGTCAAATGCGTTTTGTTAAACTTTACTTTTTTTGACTTTTTGGTCTTTTGGAAAATATTGTTTGTGCTGCATTTAAACCCCTCTACCAAGAAATTTGTTTTGCGTGCACACGTATAAAAATTGCGGTTTTTTATCCAACGCAATCATAGGTTTGAACGTTGTTTTCAATTTCGACTTGTTTATATTTTTTCGTTTGGGCTTGTATTATATTTGCCTTCGGGTTTATATGATCCGTTCATCCTCTTTCGACTCTTCAAAATTCAAGAGTCTATCCTAAATTGAGGTAAACTTTATGGCCTTCCAAATACTGTTAAGATTCCCAACATAACTGAAGAGACATTAATTGTCGAAATCCGGATATGGTGTACAAATTTTTGCAACGGATCATATAAACCCGGAGGCAAATATAATATAAGCCCAAACGAAAAAATATAAATAAGTCTAAATTGAAAACAACGTTCAAATCTATGATTGCGTTGGATAAAAACCGCAATTTTTATACGTGTGCATGCAAAACAAATTTCTTGGTAGAGGGGTCTAAATACAGCAAAAACAACATTTTCCAAAAGACCAAAAAAGTGAAAAAGTATATTAAAACAAAACGCATTTCACTAACAGGTCGAACAACGTATGTTCTTAAATGCTGCTGACTGTCATTGGCGATTGCCAAATAAACGGGTCACAAGATGTAACAAAATAGATCTTTATTATTAATCTAATACCAAACAGATAACAATAAACTTGCGGAAAAGATGGTATACCGCAAACATGAGGTGCAACAATTTGTACACCATATCCGGATTTCGACAATTAATGTCTCTTCAGTGATGTTAGGAATCGAAACGGTATTTGGAAGGCCATATAATTTACTTCAATTTAGGATAGACTCTTGAAAGAGTCAAAATAGGATGAACGGATCATATAAACCCGAAGGCAAATATAATACAAGCCCAAACGAAAAAAATATAAACAAGTCGAAATTGAAAACAACGTTCAAACCTCTGATTGCGTTGGATAAAAACCGCAATTTTTATACGTGTGCATGCAAAACAAATTTCTTGGTAGAGGGGTCTAAATACAGCACAAACAACATTTTCCAAAAGACCAAATGAGTGAAAAAGTATATTTTAACAAAACGCATTTGACAAGCTGGTCGAACAACTGATGTTCTTAAACCCTGCCGACTGCCATTGGCAATTGCCAAATAAACGGATCACAAGATGTAACAAAATAGATCTTATTATTAATTTATCACCAAACAGAAAACAATAAACTTGCGGAAAAAGATGGTATACCGCAAACATGAGGTGCAAAAATGTGTACACCATATCCGGATTTCGACAATTAATGTCTCTTCAGTGATGTTAGGAATCGAAACGGTATTTGGAAGGCCATATAATTTACCTCAATTTAGGATAGACTCTTGAATTTTGAAAGAGTCAAATAGGATGAACGGATCATATAAACCCGAAGGCAAATATAATACAAGCCCAAACGAAAAAATATAAACAAGTTTAAATTGAAAACAACGTTCAAACATATGATTGCGTTGAATAAAAACCGCAATTTTTATACGTGTGCATGCAAAACAAATTTCTTGGTAGAGGGGTCTACATACAGCACAAACAACATTTTCCAAAAGACCAAATGAGTGAAAAAGTATATTTTAACAAAACGCATTATATATATGTAGAGTTGTCACTGGTTCAGACGTACTTATAAATATAATTATTTCTGTTACTGTATCTCGCATTAATTTGTAGGATCCTTTACAATAGATATTTCAGCTGATCTGTAACAATTCAATCTTCATGCCTTATATATCATGTACTGTATTACGACGCTAGATTAAAACTGCTGAGGAAAGGTAACACCCGGCCACCGAAAGCTTTATTATTGTGAAGCCTAGATGGTCGAGTGGTCTAGCGCGTCGGATACAGTGCAGGCGATTTGGTGTCACGATATCTCAGTAGCATGAGTTCGAATCCCGGCGAGGGTAGAACAAAAAATTTGTGAAAGCAAATTTACAGATCTAACTTTGTTGGGCTGATGTTTAGACGAGTTTTATATACAAAATGTACACAGCCATGTATCACCATCACTGCTGGTGATCCGATGGATAAATCTGTTGTAGAGTTGTCACTGTTTCAGACGTACTTATAAATATCATTATTTCTGTTACTGTATCTTGCATTAAATTGTAGAATCCTTTACAATAGATATTTCAGCTGATCTGTAACAATTCCATCTTCATGCCTTATATATCATGTACTGTATTACGACGCTAGATTAAAACTGACGAGGAAAGGTAACACCCGGCCACCGAAAGCTTTATTATTGTGAAGCCTATGTGGTCGAGTGGTCTAGCGCGTCGGATACAGTGCAGGCGATTTGGTGTCACGACATCTCAGTAGCATGAGTTCGAATCCCGGCGAGGGAAAAACTAAAAATTTGCGAAAGCAAACTTACAGATCTAGCATTGTTAGGCTGATGTTTAGACGAGTTGTTTATATATATCAGGCGACTGGATGGTTGTAAACACAAGTAGCAGATTCCAATAATTGCCATTGATTGCGGAGGAAAGTCATATATAAGGGTCATAAGTTTATGGTAGTTATTTAATCTTACAAAGAGACAGTTAAATCTCATTCTGTTTTATTGTTGGAAAACAATATAAACAGGAAAAACGGACAATATAATGAAGGGCCGTGCTTGCACATTTTGTGTAATCCACAGAACAAATAATCAATTATGAAACAAACAAAGCAAATTTGATTTGGTTTCAATTTTCATGAATTTTGACACAACCGAAAAAAATCTTTAAATGATCCAAAAAATATCAAGCTTTAGTTAAAACCTGAGTTGACTATATTGTTGCATATAATATGGCAGTCATTTAAAAGTTTGTAATTTTACAACAAAAACTAACTAAAGCTATTTTCCAAAATAATCAGCAAATTCTCAACAGCAAAAAATGCACATATGAATATTATGCATAACAACTGTGCAAAATATAATTACCGTTCTACCCATATTTTCGGAATTTTGTCGCCCACAAAATTTATTGACGGACAGACGGACAGATAAACAGACGAAAGAAAAGGCGGGCGGACAGAGTGATGAAAATTCTAGGGTCTCGCATTCTCTTTGTATGTTAGTTGTATGCATCGTAGTTCTTAACTAAGAATCATTTTTGTAAAATGCCACTCGCCTATAAGTTAGCGACACAAAGAATATGCATTGCTTCGTGAATAAAGATACCATCCCCCGTCGGCGTCCTTACTAATCTTTTCAACAGACTAAAAATTATCTATAAGGTCTTTTTGACTAAAATAAAACCGACCAAAATTATTTAATCAACACATCTATAATAATGTTTTTATAATAAATAAACACTAATGGCGTCGTTCTTTTCTTTGAACTATTAACTCTTATATGATAGGTCAATACCAACAAACAAGCTTATAACACCAAGCTGTTCTATTTGTAAACAAAACAAATGTGAATGTTGCATTTTATAAGACATGTACAACTTTTATATTTTCAGCATAAAAGTTCAAGACTTATGTTTATATCAAGAGCATTGTCATTTTGTTTTTCAAATGTATTCTTTATAACATACTAGTGTCGGAAAATATTTCAATAACACTCTTATAAATTTTTTGTTTAAACAGGTTAACACAAATGGCGTAATTTCATTTCTGGGAACTATGAGAACATTTACTCCAAGTCCTTTTCCACTAGCAAGCAAACGCAGATTGATAGCACCGTACTGGGCTGACATAGACACAAGAAATGGTGGCATCGTTTGGTATCGTGAGACTACAAACCTTACCATGTTAAAAAAAGCGTCAGACGAAATACAAACAAATTTTGCAGAACACTATAATTTTCACGCAGCGTGGATGTTTATTTCAACATGGGATAATGTAGCATTTTATGGAGCTGATGAAATTGGCAAGAAAAAGGTACAAGATGGATACTATTTTCATAAGATAGCGCTGTAAAAATAAATGTTCTTTCGACTCAATATGAAATTACAGCCGCCAAGGGGCTTAATGTCTACTTAAAATGAGTAACTTTCTTCTTTAATCTATAAAAGTATTTAAGCATTTAATTTAAGTTGTAAATATATATATATATTTTTTAAATCAGACATTTAAATACATTTTTTGGAAATTTTGCAATTTTTGGAGTATTGTTTAATTACTGTTAAAAAAGTTTACAAAAAATATCAAACTTCAAGGTAATTTCAAAAAGGGGAGAGTAAATAAAACCATACGAAATCAAACGCTCGACTATATAAAAAAACAAGAGGCTCATGAGAGCCTGATATCGCTCACCTGTAATTTCAGTTTCAGGCATTTCATTTATTTGTAGATCTTACTTTGCTGAACAATTCTGTCATTTACACTTTCTCTCTTCGTATAATAATATTAAAGATAATACATAACCCAAAACTGTAAAATTTCCTAAAAAATAACTATTTCTGGACAGTAATCCAACAATAAGTTGTCCTATTGGTCTGAAGATTACTTGACAGGTAGATCCAAACCTGTTTAACACTTTCATCTATGTCAGTTTTGCTCTTACTGCGATCTTACTTAGCTGAACATTTATTGCCATTTATACTTTCTCTCTTTCTATTATATTATTAAAGAAAAAAAAGTAAAATTTAATAAAAATAAATTATTTCCAACAGTAACCCAACAATGGGTTGTCGAACTTGTCTGAAAATTTCGTAATAGATAAATCATGACCCATTTATCACTTTAACTCTCTTTCACTTTTGCTCTAACTGCTGTAGTTTTTGAGATATAAGCCAAAAACTGCTTGTGTCCCCTATGTTTTATTTCTAGTCATTGCGGCCATGTTTGTTGATGGATCAAAACTTCGGATACGATTTATAAACTAGATACCCTAAGGAACATTCAGTTAAATATTGGAAGTATTTTGCCCAGTAGTTTCAGAGAAGAAGATTTTTGAAAAAGTAATAGACTTGCATGAAAAAATGTAAAAAATAAACGTTTTAAGGGCAATAACTCCTTTAGGAGTCAATTAACTATTTCGATCATTTGACTTATTTGTAGATCCTACTTAGCTGAACATTTTTGCCATTTACACTTTCTCTCTATCTATTATAATATTAAAGATAATAACCAAAACAGTAAATTTTTATAAAAATAAACTATTTCGGACGGTAACCCTACAATGGGTGGTCCAATTGGTCTGAAATGTCATAGCAGATATATCTTGACTTATTCATCACTTTAACTCCATGTAACTTTTGCTCTAATTGATATAGTTTTTGAGATAAAAGCCAAAAACTGCATTTGACCCCTATGTTCTATTTTTAGCCATGGCGGCCATGTTTGTTAATGGATCAAAACTTCGGAAACAATTTATAAACCAGTTACCCTAAGGAACATTCAGTTAAAGTTTAGAAGTATTAGGCCCAGTAGTTTCAGAGTAGAAGATTTTTAAATGTTAGCAAACATGATTTAAAAAGTGTGTAAAATTGTCTTTCAAGGTCAATAACTCCTTAAGAGGTCAATTGACTCTTTTGGTCATATTAACTTTTCTGTAGATGTTACTCTGCTGAACATTTTTGTCGTTTACAGTTTATTTTTATCTTCAATAATGACCAAAAACTGCAAAATTTCCTTAAATAACCAATTTAGTGGCAGCAACCCAACAATGGGTTGTTGGATTCGTCTAAAAATTTCATGGGTGATAGATCTTGACCTATTGAACGTTTCTACCCTGTCAGATTGGTCTAAATGCTTTAGTTTTTGAGATATGAGCCAAAAAATGGCATTTGACCCCTATGTTCTATTTTTAGCCATGGCGGCCATGTTTGTTGATGGATCAAACCTTCGGATACAATTTATAAACTAAATACCCTAAGGAACATTCAGTTAAAGTTTGAAGGTTTTTTGCCCAGTAGTTTCAGAGAAGAAGATTCTTAAAATAGATTACGACGACGACGATCACGACAGACGACCCCAAGTGATGGCATAAACTCACGGCCCGGTGAGCTAAAAAACGGGACGAATTAAATTATATTTTGCGTACATTAAAAAAATGCATGCGTATTAGTTAAAGTTACTAAGAATAAGAGTTAACACTAACGAAAAAATTCCATGTTATCATTTATAATTTTAGAGATGTACATTTCAATGCGTGTTGGTTACAAATGGCAGACATTCTTTCACTATATTTCTGTATAACACGATTGAATGGACAACAGGTCGTGCCAGCGGTGGTCACAGTTCAAGTGGATTAGGTGGAACGGCCGCACAAGTAAGTATACATTCCCTCACGTTTACAGATGTTATTAAAATCAGAAAAAAAAATCTATTTCTATCATGTAGTCAATTCTTGTTTTGATTTATTGATGCAATAAAAGAAACTAAAGGCAGCTAAATCAAACCAAAAGTGGTATCTAAAATATGTCTGAATAAAGGTTTCAGTAGTATATATTGAATTTTTTGTGAAAAATGATATTTTTCAGGTTGGATTTGATGCAGGTGATGGTTTTAACTTTTATGCTATAGAAGCATCGAGAAAAGCGAGTGTAATTAATGTGACTAGGATGTCAAACATAGACCATCCAGGAAAATTTATTTTTCGTGTAGACACTACAAAAATTACAAATGGTGGCTGTAATGTAGAAGGTAAGACCTTAAACTGAAAATTTATATGGAGATAAACATCACTTGTTCAAGGAGGGCAAGAGAGTTAATTCGTTTTGAGGTTTTTTTAATTAATGAAAGATATATATAAATAAATAAACAAATGATATCATTTGTAAACTTTATGTAAGTTTGTATGTCACTATGACTTCACACAAAATTGGGCTCATATCTAAATGTTAATGACAAGATTTATTTTGAGATTGATGCATGTAGTTTTGCATTAAATGCAAGAAATCTTAATCCTAGAGGAAATATAGTATGTTCATTTCATAAAAACCAATTATACAGCTATTTGGCAGACGGATATCTTGCATACACCTCAAGATTTTATTTTACAATTGTTTCCTATTTTCGAATTCAAAGGCTGAAATGTGTTCCCATCATATTACTTTACTTTTATTAAATCAAACAGTCCCCGACTATATCTTTCAACTATATCTCAAAATAACAATTAGTATAATTGCTATCTCTTAAAACCGTATCTTTAAATCTTCACATAAGAATTTTAACAACCTGCCAGGCGTGTAGCTACGTTTACGTGAAAACGCCCGAGCGTACACATGAATTTAGGAGAAAAAATAATTTAATCTAAACAAATAAAAAAAAGCTTCAACAACACGAGCGTTGTTATTCTTTCTTCAATAAAAAAATTTAAAAGTCACGAAATTTACTTTTCAATGAAATGGTATCATATTACATATTTGTTCATTTTCTGTCAAAATCTGAATCTACTGTGAATTCTACTCAGTTTCCTATTGTTTAAAGCAATTCTTTCGATATTTGGTTTGCATTTTTGACGAGCCTTTGACATTTATGTCGCGAAAACGAGACCGTGACTTAGCGTTCCTAGATTCTGTCGGCGTCGTCAAAATTTAGGTTCAGTCTGTTGTTAAAGTTATTTTTGATTTTATCAATAACTTTGTAAGACATTCATGGAATTTTACGGAAGTTAGACAGAAGCTTTTTATGACCAAATTTAAGACAGTATTCAGAGCAAAATTTTATGAATATTTCTTTTGATTTTTGTCTCGCCTTTACGGAGTCAAAAAATGAGACATAGGTATGTTGTTTCCTTCGTTGTTGTCGGCGGCGGCGTCAACAATGTATAAGTTTGTAATTAGGTCACTTTATGAGGAACCACTAGTGGTAGGCAAATAATATTTGGTATGCAGTTGTATTAGCATTGGCACATCTTATTTCCACAGAGATTATTTGGCCCGCCCCCTCAGTCATGGTCTATTGACTCCTGAAACTTTTTCTTGGTTTACATGCATTAGTTTGTGATAAGTGTGTTTATGGGGAAACACTAGTGTTATGGCAACGATATTTTACTAATAGGGGGTGTTTAACGACCTTGACTACCAATGGGGATCTTGCACGGTCGACTAAATGGACTTAGTTTTTGTTTAAGTTAATATTTAGATGCCGTACAAGATCAATTACTATGCCAAACCTTCATGAAATTTTACCTAAGTTGGACACAAACTTTTTATGATCAAAAGTCAGTATCCAGAGCATAATGAAAATATACATTTTTTCTAAATTTCCGTATTTTACTAATAAAAGGACTTTGTTGTTGTGTAGTAAATAAGTAGATACTTTTTGAGGTTACACATCAATTACTTTGTCAAACTTTCAAGGAATTTTATGAACATTTGGCATAAGCTTTTTAATGATTTTAAAAGAGATAATTTTGAAATTATTTTTTATGTTTTTTAATTTTTCAGTATTTTACTGACTTATTTTTTTTTAAATTAACAGACGGTCTGTTTTTACATGATAAATTTGTAAAACTTCATAGATTGTTATGAACCTTGGAAATAAGCTGATCTTCAAGATAATTTCTTTTTCCTTAATCCTGTATTTCACTGATCAATAGACAACTTTTTATAGTCAACATTACACTTTTACACTGACAGAAGTAATCCCAGGCGAGACCCAGGGTTCCACGGAACTCTTTACGAGTTTTATATTTCGCCTGAAAATCTATGAAAATTATTTATTTCATGTGTCTATTAACAGAATTTGCGCATAAAAATGGATGAACATTTAGATGAAGTCGAAAAAATTAATAGAACAACAACATTGAAATGGAGACTTTCTTTTTTTATTATCTTGATTTGGATATTTGTAGATCCCACATCTCCATTTAAATATATTTTAAGTATCTGGTTTGGATATTTTTCTCTAAGACAAATGATCATTGGATTCAAAATCAACACAATGAATAAATTAAACTTAAAAAATAAATAAACTAGACTCTGAATATTTAGCTATTGATGAGTTCTTAATGACAGAAATGGTATCTCTTTCTCGATAACGCGAGTATCTGGGGCTTCACCCCATCAACCCCCTACTAGGAGGTTCTCTGCCCTGGACCCGCTTTGGTCCCTCAGACACCTCGCCGAGTAACGGGCGTACACTTACAAATGGCCTAGCTACGCTACTGCCTGCATGAACTTTCCGATGTAAGCAAATGTAACCAATTTGTAATCTAAGAACTATATATATTTATGAAGGTACATTGACAATCACGCCGAGGGAAGCTACTATGTTTGGTGGAACACAACTCATAATCTCAGGACCTTGTTTCAACCTAACCAAAGTAATGACACTGGTCATGGCAGATGGAGAGACTGTACCTTGTCAAAAGTATAATGACTTTAGTGTGTCTTGTATTTCACCTCAAATTTACAGGACTGGAAAAGAAATCGTTTCACTGCATCTTACACAGGGCAGTAATCAGACAATGATGTTTCATGGAATTTTGACAATTGGTAAGTGCCACAATTTTAGAATTGAGAATGCAAACATGTTTTCCTCTTGTACAGTTAACGATATCTTCAGATACTTAATACAACACTGTTTATCTTTATTATTATCACACAACAATTTTTCCTGAAAAAGTGTCAAATAGAACCCAGAAAAGGGGAAAAAATATCAAGATTCGGAGTAAAAAGTCTATGAAAAAAATTATCATTGCCAAATAAAAAAAAGACGAATAAAATATTAAAAAAAAACTTCTAGACTGCACAATTCGACGCCTCCCCCTTCTTAAAAAAAATGATTAACTTAGGTGATCTGGAAGGGTACCTGCAGTTCCTGCTCTGTTAGTGAACAACACCTGATGATGAGAATAAGGGAAAGGAGGACGAGGTTATGGCTCGAAAAACGTACCCGTGCTCATCTATGACGCACAGATTCCATAACAGTAGCATGATGACGTCCGCTAATCTTTAAAAAATCATTAAAGGAAACGTAAGCCCTGAAATATCGTATTAAATGGGAGATACCTACTACATGTGCAGGCGTTTGAATTGTTCCTACATAAAAATGAAAAATTCCCTATGGAAACTTTGAAATAATCTATTTTGCCATAATGAATTTGAAACTTAGTTTCTTAATAATAAAAATAATAAGATTTGGTATGATTGCCAAAGACACAACTCTTTACCAGAGACTTTAGGTCACAATACGGCCTTCAACAATGTTTCCTGGAAATTTTTCTATGAATCCGTGTATTACTTACACACAAATGTTTATTGGACTTTTCTGTATTATTAATTGTATCGTAAACAATAAATACATAAATGTTTCAAGGGGGCAACATTTTGTGTTTTTTTTTTTTTTTTTTTAACATAATTAAATATTTATTTCAAATATTGGCTTGTTACAATATCCTTCAGGAGTCCAAGCTCCTCCTGATGTTCCCTGTTACAATCCACTAATCACTCAGGGTAGTGATTAGTTGTAAAATACATATTACATTTGTACATCAAATATATATTAAATAATATCACTTAATATGACTATTCATATGTTTTCTAATAGTTGCTAAAATATTACTTTTAATTTTCAAACATACTCTTCTATTGAACTCATTGAGAAAAATTAAGTAAACATTGACATTTTTTGTCTTTTGATCAGATATGTAATAGGCTTTGTAAATTGAAAAGCCAACAATCGTTAAAAAATAGTTAAAGTCAAAATATTCTTCGTCAAAAGTTTTATATCCAAATACCAAGTGTCTTAGTTTTATCTTAAAAGTTATTTTACTGTTCTTTAAAACTTCATTTATTCTATTCCAAAAAAGTTTTAAATACGGACACAGTATAAAGTAGTGATCATAATCCTCTTCTTGTGTACAAAAATTACAAGAACTATTGTTTACAATTTTCCACCTGCATAAAAGTTTCTTTGTAGGTAGAATATGTTGTAGTAATTTCCATCTAAAAATTCTAAGTTTATTTTCTTTTAAATATCTGAATAAAAATTTATATAAATTGTTTTGATATAACACATCATCTATATCAAATATACGCAGCCATTTTTTTGGTCCGATAGCTGGTTCAAATTTTTTATTTATCAGAGACTTATATAAAAGTTTATTTGTTAGTGATTCTAATTTTATAGGTAAACCTTCCAATATAAATTGGTTTCTTTTTATATTAACAATACTTTTTACAGAATTGTCCGATTTTAAAATTGCTGCCCAGTCTTTTGGTATTGATTTCTTTACTAAATTAATTTCAGCTATCCAGTTTGATTTATTTTTTAGTTTATTTAAAATTATGTCTTGAGAAATACAGCCTTTTTCATCTATGACATCATTTACATAAATAAGATCGCTTTTAATCCAATTTTTTAAAAATATAGCTTTATTTTCAAATTTAATAAATTTATTGTTCCATAATATTTGTTTTCTTATATCTGTAAAAGTTTCTGGTTTTTTTGTTAGACCTCCACCAGTTAATTTCCAACATTTAATGATATCTTTATAAAAATCTGGGATGTGTTCAATGCTTTCGTCTGGCTTATCCCCACTGTTTGTTTGAAACACTAACCAGTTTGACCCAAAATTATAAAAATAGTGCTGAGGTATAATTTTCCAACCTCCTTCACAATCATTTACTAGTCTTTTTACCCACATAGCTTTTAAAGCAGTGAAATAACTCCTTATATCTATCATATCCAATCCCCCCTTTTTATAGGGACCAATAATTGAATTTCTTTTTACTTTATCTGGTTTATTATCCCAAACAAATTTAAAACAACTTTTTTCTATTTCTTTTAAATATTTCTCTGGAACTATGCAGGCAGATCCCACAAAAGTAAAAATGGGCACAATTAGTGTTTTGATAATCAAAATTTTACCAAAAATAGTAAGATTTCTTTTTTGCCAAGCACAAAATAATTTATTCATCTTATCAATTTTATTTTCCCAATTTAGTTTTTCACATTCCTCTCTACAATGCCCAAAGTATATACCAAGAGTTTTAACTGGTCCATTGCTCCAGTTGATTCCCTCAATTTTGTCTTTACATGATTTAAGCTTTCCTACCCATAACCCCTCTGTTTTATTTCTGTTTAATTTCAATCCTGAATAAGAACCAAAAATTTCAATTTCGTTCATAGCAACTTGAACATCATATTTAGAACAACAAAATAAAGTAGTATCATCTGCTAGTTGCGAAATTTTTATACTATGATTTTTGCAATCTAATTTGATTCTGATACCTTTAAAATCAGTATTGCTTCTTAATCTTGAAGCCATTATTTCCACAGATAAAACAAATAATAACGCAGATAAAGGACATCCTTGGCGTATACCCCTGGTGTTTTTAAAGACATCAGATATCCAACCATTATTCATAACACATGTTTGAATATCGCTATATAAAGTCTTAACCCATCTGATAAAAGATTCATTAAATCCAAAATGTTTTAAAACTGAAAACATAAAATTCCATTCTAGAGAGTCAAACGCTTTAGAAAAATCAACAAAGACTATAGCCCCCTCAATTTTGTATAAATCAGTGAAATCAATAATATCTTGTATCTGTCGAAGATTAAAACCAATAAATCTATTCTTTACATATCCAGTCTGGTCTTCTTTAATAAGTTTTGGTAAGATTTTTTTCAATCGTTGTGCTAGAGTGTATGATAGAAGTTTCATGTCAATATTTAAAAGAGAAATAGGACGGTAATTATTTAGTGACAATGGATCACCTTTTTTAAATAATAGCGTTAATACACTTGTACGCTGTGAGTATGTAAGTGTTTGATCTTTATATCCAATATTAAGAATGTTTACTACTATGAACTTTAATTTATCCCAAAATTTTCTATAAAATTCAACTGTTAAACCGTCTAATCCAGGGGATTTATTAAGTTTCATTTTATAAATAGCATCTGAGCATTCTTCTACTGTAATATCCCCATCGCAGAGTGATTTATCATTTTTATCCATTTCTTTCTCGAGTTTTGTCTCAAATATATATGTATCGCTTGATGTTTTATCAGGGCTTTGCGTCGAGTATAACTTTTTATAGTATTCTTTAATACTACATAGTATATCACTTTGATCCGTTAAAATCTCATCATTTTCCCCTTTTAATTTATTGATTGACTTTTTTACCTGTCTCTGTTTTTCTAAACCTAAAAAGTACGAGTTATTTTTTTCCCCAAATTCAAACCATTTCTCTCGTGATCTTATTTGAGCCCCTTTAGCCTTTTGTTCGTAAATTTTGGCAATATTATTTTCAAGTTCTTCAATATCTTTATCTAAATAATTATTCTCAGATTCTTGCTCATCTCTAATTTTCAATTTTATTTCTAATTTTTTTTCAAGAGTTCGTAAGTTTTCTCTTGTAAATTTTGCTTTAGATTTACAATAAGCTATAGTTGCCTCCCTTACCTTTATTTTAAATATATCCCATGCTAAACCAAGGTTTTTTAAATTACGATTACTCATAAAGCAGCTTTTCATTTCTTTATTAACTAATTGTATGTAGTCATTATCTTCTAATATAGAATTATTTATTTTCCAGTACCCCCTTCCCTTTTCTGATGCACCAGTTCTAAATTTCATAAAAACACTTTGATGATCCGTACAATCAATAACTGCAGGTTTAATTTTACAACATTCTACTAGTGGTATGAAGTCTGAACCTATCAGAATCATATCAATCCTACTTGCCTGGGATTTATCTTTTCTTCGCCAAGTATATTGTTGTTTATTTTTATTTGAATATCTCCAAATGTCTGCTAAGTTATTTATTTTTATTAAAGATTTTAAACTATTTACTGATTGAATATTTTTTACCTCTGAACGAGTATTTTTTCTGTCTATCGCTTTCATCGTTTCATTGAAATCTCCCCCCATTATCGTAATTCCTATCCCTTGTTCTTTTAAAATATTATTTACTTTTTTGAAAAATATATTTCTATTACTTTTACAATTAGGTGCATATATACACATTAGTGTAAAAACGCTTTCATCAATTTCTACATTAAGAAGAACTAATCGTCCATCTACATCGGTATGTTTATTTATCAATTTATAATTCAGTGACTTTTTAATGAGAATAGCCACACCCCTACTAGAGGTCGTTCCGTGACTGCAAAATATATTAAATTCTGAATTATTTCTTATTTCTGTTTCTATGTTTTCATCAAAGTGAGTTTCTTGTAAAAAACAAATAGAACTATTTTGACATTTAATCCATTCAATTACTCTGTCTCTTTTAGCTTTATTTTTAGTACCATTTACATTTAAACTACTTAAGTTTATTAAAAATTTAGATGCCATTTCAAAGTATAATTTCATATTTTTGTATTATTTCTTCACATAACTGTACATGCCTACAAACAGTACAATTAAAACACATGCTTATAACAATCATACAGAAATCGACAATGTATATCAATCTATTTCTACAAACATAAAAAGTACATTTCATCAGGCTACATATAATTACAGGTAACAAATAAAACACGCTACCTGTGAATACGGCATTTAATTTACTGGCCTGATTTGACCTTGTTTTGTTAAAATCAATAGACAATAAAATTGACACTGAAATAATCAACATCCACGTGTGATTTGTTACAGTCTTACAATGACTATTCGAATGGATATATATTTCTGATATACATGTCTTATTCACATAATTTGTGCATATACTTTTATTTGGAGAAGTGAAATTTAGAATGTAAACAAATTTAAGATAATAACGTATGTCAACTTCACCGTTTGCTTTTAACATTTTGTTGGCTATGTTTACTAAAGAAGCAAACTGTTTGCAAGATATTTTACATGTATCTAGTAGGAAGTGTAAAGGAATATCCAATAGTGCATTTCGTGGATTTATTACACGTACTATATTCAAATATGTTTCAAAAATATATTTTGCTAAATTACAAATACAGTATGGTCTGTATGGATGAATAAGCTGACAGTAAGGTAAGTATTTATACATTTTAAACAGTGAAAAGTTGTATATGGTTGTATTCAGTGTTTTACTTAATGTCCATAATTGTTCATTCATTATTATTAGCACACAGCATTTGTATACTTGCGCTAAAAATAGCACAGATAAAAACCAACATAATAGTAATATGCTAAATATATCAATAAATGTTCGCTGTTCGATTTTGTTCAGCGATTGACCTATAGTAAACACAATCATTGTAAATAATATTAAAGCTATAATGCACATCATGCATACATACATTTCATGAGATACTTTATTGAAACTAAAAATAGTTAGCAATATATTTCTTTTTGACATACAAATCTCACACTTTATATATCTTTTGTTATAGCTTATCGAAGCCTTTAAAATGAAGGTTTTGAGTTTGCATTTATAAAAACATGCACATGAGTTGCATTTATGACCAATAGTCAACTTCACAATCAACAACATCAACACTTTGAAGTAAACTCTTTTAAAGAGCTGAAAGCTTTTTTTCATTTTCATTTTTTTTGTTTTGTTTATATTATATATAGATAAAAGATCATTGTACTGTAATATTTACATTGTCTATATGACTACAGTTGAGCTTTGGCCTTCTTGGGGCCATTATTACCAGTAGTCCTGTCATGTAAGTTCTCTGGGGGTGTAGGTGGGGTATGATGCTGAGACAGATTCCTGCGTTGACTTTGTGGTGTGTTCATAAATTTGTCTATATATGATTGTCCTTTGTCAGAATTGCTTGAATTTGTCTCATTCACACTAACCTTTCCCTTTCCTGGTTTTGTAGAATTTGGCTTATTTGGATTGTTTGAATTAGCATCTGTTGTTTTTGGATTTCTGCCTTTTGGTTTATTTGCCACATTTGTCTTTGGTTTCAGTTTCTCAGACTGTTCAGTTGACTGAGAATCATTTACAGATTCATCAGTGGTCACTATTTGTTCTTCAGTATTGCCTACTACTTGGAATGCATTTGGACAATCCATCATCTTGTGGCCTGGTAATTTGCATTTTCTACACACCCAATCATTTGGACAGTCATACACAAAATGACCAACCTGTAAACATTTATAGCATGGTTTTGTAGTGCCATCATTGTTAGAGCTTCTGTTTTCAAATTCAGGTTGCCCACTATGCATAACTATGGCCATGTATTTGCCTATTTGTAAACTTCTGGCTATGGGTTTGTCTAACAACTTACTTATTATCATTCTGTCTCCAGTTTGGCAGTTAGTGAGTTTGCCTTTAACCCGTAACCGTTTTCTATGGAGACTCTGTATGTCACAGCCCTGTAATGTAAGGGCTCTATGTATTTGCCCATCATCAGCAGAAATCGGCACATTTTTCACTGTAATTCTGATGGTATCTGGTTGTAAATTGCCTGGATTTCGGGGATTTTGAGAGTGCAGGGGAACTTGCCTGCCACGCAAGTTCATTCCTGTCACTAACAGAGACAGTTTGTCTTCCTCGTTATCCATGTAAATGCGCCACATATCACGGATTCTCTGAATACCTTTTATCCGTTCAGCTGGAATTTTTGTATCAATGGCGTTGTATATTTCTATGTTCGTAAGCCATAGGGGTCTCGGTGGTTTAACAGAACCAAATACATCGGTATCTGTCAGAAATATAGGTTTTATATAGTCACTGGGATCACTTGATTCACCTGTATTATTATCAGCCCCAACTGTTTTGTTTTGGTTTGTGTTGGTGTTTGTATTTGACAGTACCTCGGAATATGACGCCATATTTGTTTTGTTTTGATTTGAAATGTCCACCTCGGGGTCTAACCATTCTTCTTGCATACCCTGCATATCTTCTAGAAGACGTTTAAAACGATCTTTTGACATTTGTTTACATAATGCTTCAATTTCAGGTTCCATCATGTAGTTTAACGTTATGAAAATTATATTTTTTTCTGGAGCGGTATCTCACTAAGCCTTAGCAATAAAGGGACATCACTCATCTTCTTCACATTTTGTGTTTTTGGAGCATGAAGTGTATTCAGGAAAAAAATCGAGGTCAAACAAATTACAAAAAAAATAAATTTAAGGGCACGTCACCATAAAAACAAAACTTGTAGTCCCTAATTTTAACCATGCATATTTATTTATTTTCAACAGTAAACCATGCATTGACAAAAAATGTACTATCACGTAGTCCGTTGTCATGGAAGCACGGAACGACGGTGAGAATTATTTGGAAGCAATCTGAAATAATGTTTCCGGTGGATGCAAACATAAGTTTGGATCTTTACTATCTGCAGGTTCGTAGATATTTCATGTTGATTTAATTTCTCGTAAACCAATTGAACGAAAAAGCATCAGACTGCATAACAATTCAAACACATAATTTAAGAAAATTTGAAATTATTAGGTTAGGTTGTCTGAGGTCAATATTATTCATAATCGGTCGTCCCACTATCTGTATGACTCTGATCAGCTCTTAATATAATTACATATCACGGCTTTGTGACGTCAAATACGTTGACATGGCCTTTATAACTTTCATTTAGACATATACGTTGACCCGACCTTAACAACGTTCACCCAAACATATCGCAGACGTCATAATGAATGAACCAACGTTGATAAGTTTGACCCAAACTTATCAAGTCATCTTCCGGTTTGCTGGTGAAACAAAGAAACCTCTTGTTTCTATTGTGCAAAATACGCAAATACAACCCGATAAATCAATAATCAGATAATCGGTACTTACCATGAATGATATATAGTACTTGATATTAAAAGTGTCAACAATCCATGAAAATCTTGTTATGTCTTCTTTACCTATGATAGAAGAACCATACTAAAATAGAACTGAGACACCATTCATCGATTCCTTTAATGGACACTGAGGATTTGGCAAGTGGGATGTACAACTTTAAACTGAACTTCAATGAAGAGGCAGGCATAGTCAAATTGTCAAATAACGATATGCACAGGTAAATCTAACGTCAATGTCTTACTTTCTGTTTTTATTCTTACATGTTTTCTTTCTATATTTGCCATGAAAACAACAAAACTGAAAAATAATTGTTCCGACGCTGTCGGTATAGTTTCGAGTTGGTAACCTTTGACATTATGATGCTAAACTATGATAATTATGGTCGCCGATCTATTCTCTGATTGGACGTTTCCAAAGTTTTAAGACGTTTATTAAACAAAGGGTAAAATACCGAACTCCAGGAAATATTCAAAACGGAAAGTTTCTTATCAAATGGTAAAATCAAAAGCTCAAACACTTCAAACGAATGGAAAACAACTGTCATATTCTTGACCTTGTACAGTCATTTCCTTATGTAGAAAATGGTAGATTGAACTTGATTTTATAGCTAGCTAAACCTCTCACTTGAATGACAGACGCATAGAATTCTATTATATTGACAACAATGTGTGAACAAACAAAAATACATATTAAATAGACAAAAATGTAAAAAATTGCGATACAGCAGTCAATATTGGGTTATAATCTTAATCACTATAGAAAGAAACAACTATGTCAACAAAGAAAAATAAAATGGCATCTAGACAAAGCACATAAGCAAAAATGAAAGACAAGAATACAAAAAATGACCATAGCACAATAACACAATAGCGGGATGTATAATACCGAGCCACGCCAAAAGGATATAACAAAAAATGGGCTAAACAATAAAGGCTAATAATATACAAAGATAAATAAATAAACACTATTACACGTAATTAAGATGATAAAAAACGTCAGCACCTAGATTCTATACTTCAAGACCATCATGTATTATTTGTGAACTTTACTTCCCCATGTCTTCAGATGTATAAATATAACAGTGTTAGTAAAATACTTCAGCTTTACATTTATTTTTTATCGATCATGTTGAGTTCTATATAATGATTCTCAATTGATCTGTTTCAGCCCATATTATTGGTCTGACATGTTTACGGTGAATGTGGATATTGAACAAAGCCAGGCAGTTTGTAACAAAATGTTAGATGAGGATTCACAACTACCTACAATAAACACGGATGATGTAACACCATGTCCTTGTACACTAGATGTTGCCAGTTTAGATACCACTCGGTTTAGGATAGACCCCCTCTGCCTTAAACAAGAAGGATCTCGATACGAATGTACAAACCAACCATTTGCTCAAGTTTGTTTTAAGCAAAATGTAGCATCGTAAGTGTGCTAATTGACATGTAAAAACCTAATAACGATTGCAAGCACAAGTAACAACAATGATAAATTAGAAAAAGAGAGATGAAAGACACTCACAGGGATATTCACACTCATATATAAGTCGAACACAAACTGACAATTCCATGGCAAACAACAGTACACTAAACACAACATAGCAAACTAACAACAAAAAAGTGTAGACTTGTGGTAAATTATGCTTTAGTATTTCTTAACAATTCAATGAAACAAGAATATGTCGAAATGCATTATATCAATTAAAGTTAACACAAGTATCTGTTATTTGAAGAAAAGAGATATTCCATAAAAGTTGATGATCATTTGCGTAGTTCAGAAAATGAATTACTAAAAACAAATTGTGAATAAATAGATATAAAACTAAAACAAAAAACAAAAACAATTAAAAACCAATTGTTCAAAGAACAATTGAAGGTCTTTTCACATCAAAATTCTAAATAATTGATAAGAAGCTACTTCTGGTGTACTCAAAGCTACTATTGGCATCCAATCATAGGGTTCTTCATACTGATTCAAAAAATATATGGTTTCTATAGACGTTTGCCTGAAATAAGGGAAATAATTGCCAACTTCCGGTTTAGAAAATGTCACTTCCGGTCTCATATGATAGCTTTATTGACACTGATTCCAAAAATATATGGTTTATATATATTTTTGCCTGTAAAAAGGAAGATAATTGGCTACTTCCGGTTATGAAATGTCACTTCCGGTCTCAAATGATAGATTAATGTATGACCATTCAAAAATATATGGTTTCTATGATCTTTTACAAGAAACAAGTTCAAAGAAGACTACATCCGGTTCTTTCAAGGTCACTTCCGGTAGACATTTTTCAAGGTCATATGTCACCAAACATTTTGCAAAAGATCTTATGGCTTTATCATGTACCAATCTGAAGACCTTTGACCTTGACCTCATTTTCTAAGTTAGGACCCAATGACCTCAAATAAAAAGACTCTTAGTTTAAGCGGCTTACGGTTTATGAGTTACAAAACCTTTACGACAAATTTATTTGATAAAGGTAGATAACTCATATAAAATTCCTCCGCATCGCTTTGATCCAAATCAGCCAAAACTTTCCTAGGATGTAACGAACAAATATGAAAAAGAATTTTGTCGTTAACTCTTTTGGTTACGGAGGAGATACACTAACAAGAAAAACATTGTTTGGGGAGATAACTCTTACAATTAAAAGTCTTCGCCTTAACAAGATGAGTTTTAAAAGCGCAATAACTGTTCGATACAATATACAAAATATCTAAGCGACATCTTGCGAAACAACTTTATACCGCAAGAAAAGGGTTTGGCGGAGGAGAAGGAAAAAAAAATAATCAGAACAAATACAATAGGTCTTTCCACAGAAAAGTGGAAAGACCTAAATAAATACATTCAAAGAATTTCAGCTACAACTCATGAAAAAAAACAGGTCACTCAGTTACTACATTTTTTGTATTGTTATCAACAAAGGATATATTGTAATTTTGATCAGACGAAGCATGTTTGTTCATTTATTTATTTCTATACTTAAACAGATCGCATGGATATGACCATCAATGTTGCTATAACGAAGTAGGCGTGTTAATGAACCCGAATGGATACTATGGAAGTGGTTACGTAAACAGATACCATTACCATGGTGACGGAGATGATAATATTCCATTCCTATCCAACTTTGTCTTCGACACAATATTATACAAACACTGTTGTATTTATACATCTGAAGACATGGGGGAGCTTAAATCAAATTTTGGCAGCTGTGCTTCATTTTATACAAGACGGCCACCAAACTCATGTTTAAACTATGTTCCACCAAGACCAGGTAAAATCAAAAAAATTATTAACTTGTACTTAAAGTTCTTTTGTAAGGAATTGAACTTTAGTTTGAATGCTTAAATGCTGGTGAGGATCACCCCCCGCGAGCCAACACTTGACATGAATTGTCATTGATATGGTCATAATTATAAATAACTGTTTACAAAACTTTGAATTTTTCGAAATACTAAGGATTATCTTCCCCAGGAATAGATCACCTTAACTGTATTTGGCATAACCTTTCGGAATTTTGGCCTCTATATGCTCTTTAACTTCGTACTCTATTTTGCTTTTTAACATTTTTGATTCGAGCGCCACTGATGAATATTTTGTATAAGTAACAATATTTTAGTCCTTTAAATCTATGATTTGTTTATTTACAAGTGAAACAAAATGAAGTGATTTGATTAGTAAAATTTCAAACACTTTTATGTTAGAGTGTACACAATTTTTCATTTGGAAATAATACACAGTCTTGATGATATGTTTGAACAAAGGAGAGAAAATCAATTGAATAAAAGATACAAATATGGCTATGAAATATATATTTGTTGAAAAACAAATATTTTGATTTGAATACAATATAAACGCCCCTGTAAGACGAAAGTTGCATAAAATACGGGTTTTTGGACCTTTTCGTTGTTTAGTTTTGTTTTCAAAATGCAGTAAATGTTTGTAATAGCTGGATTAAATTTCACAATAAAATTCCCTTTAATTCAAAATAATAGTGTTGTGTTTTATTTTCAACAAGAAAACTACACACATTTTAACAATTCAGCTACACTAAGAAAATCTAATATTAGATTAATTTTATATTAACTATATGTTCCATACGAAACAGAAACATGAGAAAGGCATATGCACATGAACAATAAATATTAATATTTAGAAATATCTATTCATTTTCCAAAGCTCGAGTTACGGGTGATCCACATTTTGTGACATTTGATGGTCAGGCTTATACATTCAACCCAGTTGGAGAATTTTCTGCGCTTTCGAATGGTAACTTGTCATTACAGCTACGAATGGAACAGATTGGAACTTCCCAAGGTATCTTTTATGTTAATGACAGATACTGTTGAAGGGTTGAATATTTAACACTAATTGGGAACAAAACCCAAACGATCAGGTGTATTATATGTTTATCCCAGGACTTTTAACGTTAAAACAGCGAGCGAAGTGTAATCATACTTTGACCATTACTAATTCAAAGATATTATCATTTAGAATAAAATCGTAAAATTATATTTCAAGTGCATACACAAATGAAAAAAATATATAACTGTGTTCTTTATTCCTTTTAAACAAAGCTGTTACATTTGCTTTAATTTTTCAAAGTTGTCAATATACAAAACAAAATTTGAACCTTATAAATAGTAAAAAGTATAACAAAAATACCGAACTCCAAGGTAAATTATAAAAGGAGGAAGTCCATAAAAACTGAAAAAATCAAACGTTATCAACCAACGGGTGAGTGAAAAACAACTGTCATACTACTAACTTGGTACAGGCATTTTACGAACAAAATGATGGGTAAAACCTGGTTTTATAGCTAAACCTTCCACTTCTTTGACAGTTGTTTATAGTTCCATTATAATGACAAAATTTGATTAGCAACCCAAAAAGACGTACTACGTTAATGTGACATACAACACAACTGACTAAAAAAAAATTAACAAAAAGATAAACAATTTAACAAAGACGCCAACAAAAAAGTTGTTGTTGAAAGTAATTGAAAAAGATGCGAATTAAAAAGCTTTTGTGGTTGATTGTACATATAGTGTATAGTATTAAGTGAAGTATATATTCAAGTATAAAAAAAATGGAAACAATACTGTGAAAATCTCTTGCGTCTAAATTGCACCTCAGGACCAACCACTACAAAAGTCAGAAAGTCTGAAAAGACCATTTTTTGTCTGAATTTGTATCAATTTTTACTCGACATTCTTTCTTTGTCTGAATTATTTTTAAAAATTCTTAACATATTATGAATTTGTCTTATAAGGTTCTTGATTTTTCTTGACAAGTGTCTTGACAGTATTAAAATTGTCTAAAAATTTCTCGACACTTTCTGTATCATCTGATAAGAGTCTTGATTAGTCTCGACCAATTCTTGACTGTCTTAAATTTGTCTCGATCAGTCTTGACATATTCTTGACATTCTTAATAATGTCTGGATATGTCTAGACATATTCTTGACATTCTTAATAATGTCTGAATATGTCTTGACACATTCTTGACAGTCTTAAAGCTGTCTGAATATATCTCGACACATTCTTGACGGTCTTAAAGATGTCATGACACTATCTCAACAGTATAAATTTCGCTTGAATTGTGTATAGACACATTCTGCACTGTTTAAATACTTTCTTTTGCTGTTATATACTCATTTTTATTATCGCTAAACTAAACTTAGAAGAATCAAGGATTTGCATAGTAAGATACCCTTTGGGTGCACCTATGTGGAAAACCCCGAATGACCCCCCCCCCCCTCCCCCATGTAGTTTAATTTTGATTTATTTTTTATTAAACGTTTAATTAAATTGTTTTCACTTGGAAAATATGTCAAAGTTACTGACAGCATTTGAGATTTTTTCCAGTAAAAAAACTGCCATTCAAATTTGGTTTACTAAAATGGCTGACTTGAGGCAGTTTTAAAATGTGACCATGTGTCTCTTTTGAACCCCACCATTCATCTTGTGCGTGTGTGTGGCTAAAAAAAAGGGGGACTTTCGTTTGGGACAAATAATTTGTTCCCATCTTGATTCAAAAACTTATTCATTTATTTTCTAGAACAACCAAAAACATTTTTTATTCAAAAGTGAGTGTTGAATTTCATAATTTTTTATCCAAACTAAATATTTGTTATACTTCCCTCCTGATTTTTTTCTCAAGAAATCATAAAACAAAAAAAATGTTTAGATCTTAATAATGCGTGTCTATTTGAGATCCATTTCATAAGACAAATGATTTCTAGAGAAATCATTGATGGGACCCTTTATAAACACAGTTTTCTATTATTCCTGGAGTAGATAATAGTTTTCTTTTAATCTTTGGGAAATTATCCAATTTGTTTTTATGTTAAATTATTTCACTTCATAATTTTTGATGAAGTAAATCCATTTTATTTCAAATTTTTTTAATTGAAATGATGATTTTCATTTTCATCTATCAACAAACTTTTAAAAATGGTAGTGGCATGGTCAGTCAACTGATAAGTTGCCTGGCTGATTACAGGTAAAGCAGTAATTTTCCATATGACAGTCGTGTGTACCCTGGGGTGTGTATAACCTATTTGGAATACCTTAATTGTATTGGGAACATCCTGTCCACGTGAAATACTTAATATATATTGCAACAGATGACATTACACAAATTTTCTTCTGTTAAATCAAGGATTTGTATAGTAAGACTATACAAATCCTTGGAAGAATTAGGATACAATAATACTTTGCTATTTATAAAAACCACATTTTGGTACAATAATTGTTTATTTACCCTATTAACATTGAATATTATGCATGTAGAATGAAAAGAATGTAGGACAGAAAGTCACAGGACAAAAAGTAACGGACAAAAAGTCACAGGACAAAAAGTCACAATTCAGTTTTGAGATTATTTTTCTTTGAACAAGAAAAACCTAATTTAAAAGAAATATTTTGCTTAAACTATTATTCATAAAGCAACTGTGTAATTAAAATGTATGCAATAAATATTAATAATGATCAAATAATTGCTATGAAAACAAAATGTCAAAGAGGCTTGATCCTTAAATGGCTTCATGGTGCCAAGAAATATATCCTTTGCACGATAAAAATTTAATAAATTTTCATTTATCAAGGCTTATGAAGAATTTCCTAAACTTAAAAATGAATATGTAATAAAAAGAAAATAATTCAAGACCTTTCTCTTATATATTCAAACAATTGTCAACAAACTATTTGTGACTTTTTGTCCTGTGACTTTTCGTCCTATCACATTTGTGACTTTATGTCCTGTGACTTTTTGTCCTGTGACTTTCTGTCGGTTTACCGAAAAATGTCTACAGTATGATTGGTTTTAATCATTTAGCAATTATTTATAAGATTTAGGAATCAACATTTGTAATTATTTACAAACCCACATTTGAATTGGTTTTTATCAACATACCCACATTTGTATTGCTAATACTTTAAATTTCATAGCCATATTTGTATTTATAAAAATATTTATATACCCAAAATTTTCAATTATTTTACATGCCCAACTTTTGTTTTTGTTGTAACAAGTGTACCTGAAACAACAGTATATTATATAAAGCGAAATAAATATAAAGTAATATCATGTATATTGGTCTTGATTTGTAAAACTCAGAATTGTCAAGTAAATTTAAAATTTAAAAATGTTCAGAATATGTCAAGCCATACTGAGAAAAAATAAAAATGTCGAGAATCTGTCGAGAAATTTCAAGCCAGTATTCAGATGTCAGGAATTTGTCAAGAAATTTTAAGACCATATTCAGAATGTCGAGAATTTGTAGAGTAAATATCATACAAATTTAATATAAATGAGAATTTGTCAAGAAAAATGAAGACACAAGTCATACATTTGGAGAATGTCGAGTAATTGTTCATGCAAATCAAGACAAAAATTGGTCTTTTCAGACTTTTGGACTTTTGTAGTGCACCTACACAAGGAACGACCAAATTCAAAACCACGAATAGAGGAATGCATAAATACCGAGTCACATTAAAAGTCATACGACCAAAAGAAACATATTATCACGAAGACAAATACAGGAAATATGTGTAGCAAATAAAGAGATACACAACTTCGGCACAAAGAATCTTTAAATCAAGACCATCTTGTATTTTTTGTGAAGTAGACACTGAATATTTATCTATTATGTCTTGGTATTTTACGATGATTTATTTTAGAAAAAAGACAATACGGTCTTTGACAAAACCCTGGCTCGTTATTTTGCTTAGATAGCGATGATGTTTTACAAGGTTTCAGTAACAGATGCAAGACCTTAAATATAGTGTGAGTTGAGAAATGTATACTCCATATGCGGGTGAAGTTGGTTTATTGTTGCTAAGGTAATGGAAATTTATGATAAATTTAAAATTTAAACTATCGTTTGTCATTGATTTTGGTACAGAGATGACCGTTACTGTCAAATTTGAGGTAAATGTCAAGAAATGAGTTGAAGGAAGTTGTAGCTGTGATTTCTTTTATCTCTTGTTTCAGGAGGATATATTATTGGGACCCAATCAGAAAAGTTTGGTTTGTTGGTAGAAAGAACATTATTAATATACCTCTATGTGAAATTTAATGACCTAGATTCTTTGATCTTTTTCTTTTTACAAATGTCAGAGGGAATTTTGACTCATATGAAAATACGAAAAGGTCTGCCAGGAGAGGTACACAGTTGGTTCCCATAGGTATGCAGACAACCTACAGGCAAATTCTATCTCCAAATTCAACAGATTTGTCGTTTAATTAGTACCTTAAGCATACTGATCACTTGTTCTTCGGTCTAAAATGTTTTATTTTCGGCCTCAGTTTTTAACAAAATATGCTAACGTATATCCTAAAACAATAAATATGTATCGTATGATACCATTTTATGGAGGAAAGCATTGTGGATTATTTCTTAAAACGGGTTTTTAATTTTTTATATGGTATGGTGGTGAAAATGTTGGAAAAGTCGAAGGTTTCGATAGAATTTATTTCAGAGACTGACCGAGATTTTGAATTTTCCAGAAGTTCTTTTGAGTTCTTAAAAATCCACGTATGGTTTAGGCCACTACGCGAGTATACAGTGTCAAAGTATTTTTGATATAGAGCGTTGAATAATTTATTGATATTGAATTTCAAGCTAGTTCTGTAACCTCTTTCGTCGTTCGACCATATCAAGAAGCAGAGATTATTGAGGTTCAGGTTAATCAAATTCGTGGTATAGATGTACTTGTGAACGGAACATTAGTGGATTTTGATTCAGCTATCAGCAAGGTCATTTCTGTTGAAGGTAATAATTTTAACATGTAAATGTGTAAAACGATTGGTCAGTTTAAATTGTACAGTGACTTTCAAATCAATAATAGTTTTCGCAAAATCAAATAAAAAGGTGTTTTTCCATTACAAATAATTTCTTATAAAAGAGTAAAGATGAACTCGTTCATTTTCCCCAAAAATATTAAAACTGTTTCAGTTATTCAATTTGGTTTTTTTTTATCAATTAAAGATAAATAATAATATGATTTCTAATTATCATATATCATTTAAATATTGTTATCACAAGCCCATAAGTCACCACTTCTATGTTGACTGAATTATCATTGATATTGTCATAACTATAAATTAACTGTTTATAAAACTTTGAATTTTTCGAAATACTTAGGATTTTCTCCTCAAGGAATAAAATACCGTAGCTGTATTTGGCAAAACCTTTCGAAAATTTGGGTTCCCAATACTCTTCAACTTCGTACTTTATTTGGCCTTTTAACTTTTTGATTCGAGCTTCAATGATGAATAAATAAAGGCAACAGTAGTATACCGCTATTCGAAATTCATAAATCATATGATGAGTTTTTTGTAGACGAAACTCATAATCCTGGTATCTATGATGAATTTATGTTATCTTAAGTTTTGTAATTTCAGGAGCCACTATTGAAAAGATTTCTGATCATCCTCCTACAGTAGTTACAAATTGTTACACAGAAGGGCTCTCCATTCAATCTTCCAGTAATTTGAATGTTTTAAATTTATTGATCCTTATTTCTCCTGATAGAAAAAACGGTAGGTCCTTGCCATTTATTCAAATTACTCATTTTAAGTTGATAATAGTATAACTTAATTTCTGAATTGATCGTGCATGAAGACATTTCTCGGCATACCTGCATTAGGAATACATCATTGCCAAAAGTTGAAAAAAAGCCTAAGAAAGATGTTTGCATACATTGTGGGCTTTATAATTAAAAGAATTGCAAAATCGTCTGAACCTCTGAAGTAAATTTGATTAAGGAGTGTGCGTCATGATCAGCAAAATATATGGAAAAATCATGATCGACGCCGAAAAAACATTGCATACTCTGTAGATGAAACGTCATGAATTAGCAGTCCTCTAGCAGTAGAAAGATTATGATAGAAACTCTTATTGCAATCTATTTTATTATACTTTACTAATGTAATAACTAATAAATAAAAATGATTAATATGTTACTGTACCTTTTTCATTCCTTCAAGGAGAATAAAGACTTTTTTCCCGCTGCAGATTGCGCGTAGGCAAACCAACTATTTGGAAATATCCGCGTAGCTAAATTATCTCTTTTAAATTTGGCAAACATTTGCTCGTCCAAATAATACGACCAATCATCCTCGAGAAATTGAGGTTATTCTCCGTGAAGGATTTTGTGATTTGATATTAACTTTTCACGAAGGCCATAATTGTATATTATTATATATATCCAATTTAATATGCAGTTTTTCATTTTTTACTTTGTATTTTTGAAATTTGCATGTTTTTCTAGGCAATCTTACTGGTCTTTTTGGAGATAATGACGGTGTCAAAGACAATGACTTTGTATCTTACAATAATGATTTGATAAATGCAAATGCATCTGCATCTGATATTCATCACACATTTGGATTATCATGTAAGTGCCCTTTACCACTGAAGAAGCGACATGATAATTGTATTTATTCTGAAGAATGTATAATGCATGAGAGGACTTAGAACACACATATATATAACCTCTGTGTTGACATGAACTATCATTGATATGATGATAATTATAAATGAATTGTTTATCAAATTTTAATTTCTACATTAGGAATAGCTGTATTTAGCAAAACCTTTCGGAATTTTGGGTTCTCAATGCACAACTCCGTACTTTATTTGGTTTTTTTAACTTTTTTATTCGAGCATCACTGATTAGTCTTTTGAAGACGATACGCGCGTCTGGCATACAGAATGTTAGGCCTGGTATTTATTTAAGTTATTGTTTCGTTGTTGTACATTTGAAAGAAAGTATATTATTTTAGTCACACTGATCATCAATCATACTAATCTGTAATAGCTATTCCCAATTTTTACTGTTGCAAGTAATACCTTTTCAAAATAATCATATTGTCCACAGTTTCTCTTGGTTTGAAAGTGTGTGAAAGAAAGGCTAAAGATACCAATGGGACATTCTAACTCATAAGTCGAAAATAAACTGACAAGCCATGACTAAAAAAGAAAAAAGACAAACAAACAAAAGTACACAAAACACAAAACACAACATAGAAAAATGGAAACTGAACAACACGAACTTACTTTTCCTTTATATGTTTAGGGAGAATAAAAGAAAGCGAACTTTGTTTACATACGAAGGAGGGAAGACTTACGCTTCATATCAAAATGAAAACTTCAACCCAATGTTTGAAATTCCCGACAATGTTCCCACAAGAATTACAGATATATGTGGATCTAATTCTGAATGTATTTACGATTATCTAGTTACAAACAACGAACAATTTGGTCAACTGTCAGCTAATTCGTCAGTCATCTTTGACGATATTTTAGGACTAACTGCTCCAGGTAAGCACAAACACACAAAACAAATTATATACACGAATAGATATAAAACATGTTTTTCCCCTTCTCAAAACACGTATATACATTGTAGAAAACAAAACACAATAAACCACCTAATAGCTTGAAGAATGTGTTTGATAACAAGATCTCCTCCAATACAGCCTAATAACCCATGGTGACATAGAAAAGTAAATGTATGTAGTAACACTTCTTTTGGCAAAACGCATTGTGTCATGCAATTCTCACTTCGTACTCCGTGTTAATTTATGAACGAGTCAAATGTAGCATGTATATATGAAAACATGAAAATATGAAAGACTAAATGATCAAATGAATTGAAGAACCATTGGAACACGAATTAAAAAAGCATGTTTTTTTTGTTTAACTGTGTACCTTTTTTGTTATTAACCTCTGGTTGCAAACTGAGTCCAAGCGAATATCCTTATTCCGTAAACCAGTGCTGTAGTATTTGCATAATTCAGATAATACATTTCGACTTATTTCAATGGTACACATAAGCTCATTTAATAAAACTTAGATTGCAATTTCATCCCAATGGTTCAAATTGTACTACAAATTTAGTAAATTATGTCACTTTTGTCTTGTCAAATTTTGTTTATCTTTAAGTCGTCACCTGTGGATTTCCGTCTGATACTAGTAATGCGGAATGGCATGCTAATGGATACACAGAGGGTTCGATTGCACTTTTAAATTGTACTAAAGGATATTACCCAGTTGATGTCAACATTAAATGTTTACCCTCTGGAAACTGGTCCAGTGTCAAAGTATCTTGCATTCCGTGTAAGTTAGCTCATCATTTTTAAAAACATTATGATAATTTGCCTCTATATTCATGTGAGCTTCTGTTTAGATTAATGTGTGTAAACAGATATTTGTGTTTTTGATTTAAATTAGCTAATTTATGGTCTAAAACTTAATCAACACGAGAAATTATGCATTGAAATTGGTAATAGTAATAAGAAAGGCTACACTTAAACTTATTTCTAATTGATGTACGTGTCGAAAGATTTAAATAAAGACAGTTTGAGTATTAAAATAGTGTATGGTTATTTGGATTTATGATCAAGTTTGATGTGTTTACATTTTAGCGTTAGGTCTGCTTCATTGTAGAGGTTATCAGATTACATGTTACGCTGACTATGATCTACTAATAGTATTTGACTATAAGTTTGTACTGAGAGAAATAGGATTTTAAAAATGATAACCATATTGAAGTAATATATATCGACTACCGAACGCTGAACATTTTTTTGGGCCCTTTATAGCTTGCTGTTCGGTGTGAGCCAATGCTCCGTGTTGAAGGCCGTACCTTGACCTATAATGGTTTACTTTTATAATTGTAACTTGGATGGAGAGTTGTCTCATTGGCACTCATACCACTTCTTTCTATATCTATCAGCTAATTCATTGGTTTTATTCATTGAATAGACAAAATATCTAGTGTATTCTCACAAAAGATGAAATTCATAACAGCTTTGATATGGGTATGCAATATGTTTTTGACATTACCAAACAATTTGCATTGAACATTTTTGTCAATGACTATCGATGAAAATGATATGTTAATGTTGTTACCATTACATAACAAACAACAAACAGACAAAGGTACAAGTAACTTTGTTTAACGCAAATAAAAGTTTTTACTTTAAATCAAACTGTCCTTTTGGTTTGAGGTATGCTTATGACAGATTGGGATAAACAAGTTGGATGTTATATTGGGTTACTCTTTTGTTTTTCTCAGTTGCATGTATGTCGTCCAAAAATTCATAGATTTTTCTCTATGTTACTTAAGTTGAAACCGTTATAGTTAATTGATACTTGTTATTTCTTTAAGAAGAAGTATTAAAAAGAGCCGGGAAATATAATTTAATTAAACAAGAAGAATGGAAGTCCAGTTAAACAATATGTAATGTCTATCTAAATTTAAACGTGTATTTCATTTACATTTTACAGTAAAACAAGTTGTACTTACTTTTCATGTTTGGTGTTTGTGTTTTAATATCAGTGAAGCTTGAATTATGTCCAAAATCATATAATTATTATTTTATAGTAAATTGGTAAACAAAAGTAGGATTAAACCAGCCGTACTAGACTGATTAACTGATCAATGGTAAATAAAGATGAGTTTCCGTTGTAGAAAAAATTGTCAATATAATAGTAAATTCTGGGTAAATAAATGTGATTTTATATGTTCTTTTGAAGCTGTTTACATAAAAAAAACCTGACTTGAGGCCTTTCAGGTGCAATAAAACTTATCTATACTGTAAAGATTTAAATGTTTAAGAATGATCATCGGTAAGTAAGAGGTTATGTTCCCAATGAAGGTTACTCAATATTGCTAGTGTCAGTCTTACAGATAACCAAATATGTGACCGTAATACAACGAGCGGGAATTACATCGCCTTAGCTGTTTAAAAATGGATAATACTGTTAAGCACACTTCTTGAATAAATGTGTTTTCGTCAATCTGTTGTGTTGTTATTAATATATATTATAAGATAAAATGACATTTTAGTTCCGGACTGTGGAGGACCTTCGCCAGTTGCAAATGGACTTTGGGTGCCAAACGAAGGAACAAATGGAAAACGAGCAACTCTCAGATGTAAAAATGGGGTTTACGGAGAAGAAATTGAAATTTCTTGTACAGATAATGGAACATGGACAGAGTTTGTCGGTCTTTGTTTGCCAGGTAAATCCTAATGTGTTATTAGTTGTATTAATCATATAATTTGGCTCTAATTTGTGAAATACAATTAATCTTTTCTCATTAACATTGTTCGAAAAAAAGAAAAATTATAAGGCACATATTCGTCGTCTCTAAATATAGGCCCCCGTTGCTTTTCTTTTCGCTATTTTTAGTTGTCTGTATATGCTGCAATAAAACTCCCTTCCCATCACACTTGGTGTTTGATTGGGTTCCAGTGGCTAAATTAAAATTTAAAAATAAGGATTCTTCATGCCATGTTTGGTTTACATTGTTTTCGAAAATTTCAGAGGTGAAGATCTATGAAACTAAGACGTTTAGCTTAAATGAATAGATTACATTCTCTTATGGTTGTGGGTTGTTATTCATTTCTTGAATGAGGAGATATTTCTCGTATCACACTGCACGGATTGTAATACGAAAAAGTGATTCGAAAATCTGCGTAAATTTGATTGGCTTATCTAGCGCCATGAGACTATATTACGACATTTCTACAGGTTTTTCGTTAGGTCATTGATGACTTTCAAAGGTTGAGACGATGTACATTTCGTCCATGGCAACGGAAATTTGTGATTTCTTCAAAAATGTGCAAAACACTCACACTTTTTACCTGAAAATATTCCTTTGGCAAATTTGATTACATTCTGAAGCGTACAAAAAGTTTTGAAATGTGCGTTGTTAAAGTTTGACACCAGAACAGGACATATGCAAAAGGCCAGATCAACTTTTTTGTAATTCAGCACAACGAGAGTGTTGACCATAAAAGAAAAAGGTTTAACAACTAGTGAGAATTTCATATCGCTTGATATCAACTCTCGTTATTTAATGTAAATAGTAATTAACTCGCCACAGGCTCGTTTATTATTATATTGAAATTACATAACTCGAGTTGATATCAAACGATATCTTATTCTCACTCGTTCAGAAAACTATAAATATAAGGGCATTGACTTCATTAATGTTCAGTCAAGTTGTAATTTTGTCGAACTAGTATTAATTATCACTTTAATTGTAACAGTGTCTGTGTATTCAGAAAACTTTGCAAGATATCAGGTGGAAATACTAAAATTAGAAAAAAAATCATTATTTAAAGACAATGTTTCCTACACGAGGTCAATTAATAGTTTGAATGTTAAAAGAAGGTTTGCAGATCATCAGGAATTCCTCAATATATTTGTTGTTTACAGTCTGTGAAAATCTGCTACAGTTTTTTAAGCTATGCAAGGGGAAATGCTCACAATGGTAACATAGACGCCATTATAAGGCATACAAATTTCTGATGGGTTCAGTTTTATTATTCTTTTTTTTCGAACAATTTGTTAAAAATCGTCATTTAACAGTTCATGTGTGTCACATGTGTGGGACAGGATCTACTTATTCTTCAGCAGCACCTGAGATCAAGTTTTTTTCAGTTTGAATATCCCTTTGGGACCTCCCGTCTCTCTCATTATATGATTCAGTTAATGGTTTCAGTCATATTGGATATTTTACAGTGAGGAATTTAAGTAGTAAACCGATGTTTAAATCTCGTACCTCAATTAAAAAGATACAGATTTAGGTAACAAAAATATAAAGGAATCACATGAACTTCAAAAGAAGCGTTGACGGATGAGGGTTAAACTTTTCATGCTTTACATGCATCATCTGCAATGAAAATTCACACTTAGTCGAAATGGCACAATCGGTAAAATTACAGATTACGACTATACTCAGTCTGGTATCTTGAGATTTGAGCCCGCGAAAACATTTGGATAGTGCGTTGAGACATAGACACATCGTATCGGTAAACTTATTATCGATGATTACTGTAAAACGTATGTAGTGTCTGTTTCATGTGTTCTTCCTCAATACTCTGTTGGAATTTTTTTTTTTTTTTTTTTTCTTTTTTTTTTTTATTTGTAAGGATCACATCCCTTTTGATAAAGTCAGTGTATTTTGAACATGAAGGAGCGTGGCGTTTGAATTAAGAAATGAAAGAACCATACGATTAGGTATAGGTATGCTGAGAAATTGAAAGTTGTAATAATCACGTTTGTCATAATAGATTCCAGTTTCAAGATCAAGTTATGAAGCAGAATCTAGGTAGAATCCGCATTCTTAATATAAAATAATGTCTTTTTATATGATTGTCAATGAGACAACTATCCAACAGAGCCCAAATGATTTGGATTTAAGCTAATATAGGTCACATGACGACCTTCACGTTTTCTAAGATAAACCAGTATGAGATGCAAGCACGACAGGTGCCTCATGCGAAGCTGGGACTGCTAATACTTATCCTTCAGAGGTACATGAGTTCACTTTCGATATTTGGTTTGGTTCATGTAAAATAATGTTTAGCTTTCTGTGAAGTACTTTGTAGAATAATGGCTATATTTTTGTTGTTTGTCGTTTTGACCATGATCTTGTCTGTTTTTATTCAACACATGTTTTTTTTAATTTTTCCTGGGTATCTTTACCTTCTTTTCTGTTGATCTTGTAATAATAAGTTCTCCTCGTGACAGTTTCTGTTTATTTATGATAGTCTCTGTATAACCAGCGGAAATTCATCATTTGGCAATCATGTAAGGCAAATGTCTCCTATAAGACGTCAACAAAGATTAACATGTTTGCCTCATGAGATTTTCTGTTCCTCATCTGGTTTTCAAAATATACACCAATTACTTGGATTTGATCCCTCTGTTCGGTTGTCAGTCCTTGTGGTCATGTTGACCGATGGATAGAAATAAAGTAAGCAGAAATAAATTTCTTATTTGATTTTGTTATGTGGTTTCAGAGAAGGTCGATGAATAAATTTACCCTCGTCCAACGCCAAGTAATAGAAAAAGCCTTTGGGAAAATGACATAAAACCGGCCTTGCGTTTTGAACGTTAAAAGAATTAAAGCATTAAAAAGGTAAAAACTATTTTACTATCAGTACAATAGACGAATTAGATTTTAATAACGCTTAAAAGATATAATCTATAAATTTACGAGAACCATTTTAAGTTGATGCTTTTTTATGCTCTTTTCATTCGTGAAGGAACATATGTTTTGCTCTTAAGTTAAGATTTTCGTCGCAATATATTTGAATTATTATGATATTACATTGACATTTACAGCACAGACTTTAGCTTCAACGTCCGATTCAAAATCAGGGATGTCAACTGCGACTGTTACAATGACTTTATCAACAAAAACACTAACAGGTGACGAAATCGTACAATCAAGCCCTAGGGTACATACTTCAATCAGAACACGAAGACAAAATTCGACACAAAGATCTTCACAACAAAACCTGTCGTCAACTCCATCATCTACAACTCCATCATCAGAAACTACAAGTCCAGGAACGGTTACACAAACAACTGCAGCAATAACATCCACTGTTCATAACCAACAAGAAATATCTCAAACTTCAGCATCATCTTCTTTACAGACAACTTCAAATATGCCACAATCTCAGTTTGTATCAGTGGAATCAACATTATCCCTTGAGATCAAATCCACGCAAGATAGTGTCTTGGAAAATGGGCAAACATCTCAGGCAATAGATGGATCCACGACCAGAAAATTATCATCCACACTTAAATCTTCAAATACAAATGAATCCACTGATACTGATAATTTTACAATTGCAGTTTCTGTTACAATTTCAGTTGTATGTTTAGTAATAGTTATCACTGTGATTGCAATAGCATTGGCAAAAATATCAAAAAAAAGAAAAGAGGGATCAAAGCGCTATGAAATACGGAAATCGTATGATGAAGACAGGTCTTCAACCAATAGTGATCCTTCAAGCTTGTATAACGTTCAAATAAGGCGACCTCTATATGGACAAAAATGGCCGCATCAACAGCCGAATCATTTGCACTGAAGATGGCAGACATAAGATAAATATATGGCAAGTTTACCGAACGTTATATGTCTACGAATAACTTAATATCTCTTTACACTAAAGCAAATGTAAATATTGTATATTGAAGGGGCAGGCAATTTCTGTAACAGTTATCACAAACTAGCCAAAACATTTACTAAATTTTTTCATCGATAGAAGGACATAATTCGTAAATATAAATCGACATGCAGTCATCTTATAAGTTCGGGTATTTCACATCCAATCTTTTATGGTAATATTCTATACAAAGCACAAAAATGTCGGCATTCATTTCAAAAGCTAACCAAACCTTTAAACAGACTTATTCAGAAGGGATATAGTTACGATACTTTTGTCAGGTAATTAAAGATGGCATATTTTTGTATTAATATTAATTCACTCATAGGGTCTTTCCATCGGAAATAAACACATTTATTCTAAAACCAGTTGTTGGCATGATACGGGTTATGTTCTTCTCATACGTTTTATGATGGTATAATACTAAACCCCTAACGGGAGGGATTGCGTTTGATTTGATTTTTCATATGATGAAGATATAATCTTTCGATCAGTTTAAATGAGGTCTGGAGCTGGCTTGTCAGTAACTGCTAGTAGCCCTTTGTTAATTTATGTATCATTGTCATTGCTTAGTTTCTTTTGCTACCTATTCTGACATCGGACTCGGACTTATTTTAAACTGAGTTTTACTATGCGTATTGCTGTGTGTTTGTTTATTCTACATTGCTAGAGGTATAGGGGAGGGTTGAGATCTCACAAAACATGTTTAACGCAGTCGCATTTTTGCGCCTGTCCCAAGTCAGGAACCTTTGTTAGTCTTGTATGTTTTTTTTTAATTTTAGTTCATTTATGTTTTAGATATTTTCACTGAACTAGTACACATTTTTGTTTAGGGGCCAGCTGAAGCCCGCATCCGGGTGCGGGATTTTCTCGCTGTATTAAAGACCCATTGTGGCTTTCGGCTGTTTTCTTTTCATTGGTCGGGTTGTTGTCTCTTTGACATATTCCCCATTTCCATGCTCAATTTTAATCATTCAATTAAATAGTAATTTAATTAAGTTTCACACTATGTAAAGTCAAACCTGTATTAAGCAGTCGTTCTTGGGAAGTATTAAAAGTAATCGCTCATAAAAAGGTCGGGATCAGTGTAATTGTCTTAGTGTTTTCAATCCGTAGAGTTATCGGCTGTAAATTTGAAGAAATAATCAAAATATATTAATATCCGTTGAGAAATAAGTCGGTGATATGGTAACGGAAAGGAGTAGAACGAGGAATTCACGAATTCACATCCTATTGCACAAAATATCCGTTGCTAACGGTTGTTAAGCGTTAAAATGAAGATTTTGTGCTACGAATAGGTGACCGCTGACTGCGTTAGACAGGGGAACGCTGATTTTAGTTTAATTATATAGAGAAAACATTTAGAATGGTTTACAATTGACCGTAAGAGGCAGGTGACCGCTGAAACGAGTTGACCGTTTAGGCAGGTTTGACTGTATATAATAAGCATATAAGAAAGGTATCGCTCATATGTAAGATTCGTCCTTGCAGTTCTAAGTATTGCATGCCTGTAAGTTACGACACTATAAACAAGACACGGATCGATCAGTAGAATGTTTATGCGTACAAACCTGCTTTCTTGTCGTTTGTCGGGGTGTTAAAACTGAGAACCTTCCATTTTGATTGTAATCAAATCAATCCAAAAAATATGATAATTTTGATTCTTTTTATATACCTCTTGTGGGTTCAGTATAAATTATTGTTTTTTTCACAAATTATGTGAAAGATGGTGGTAGCCTCGTTTACTTGGTTAGCCAGTTATCATGGTAAAGTGATCATTTCTATACATGTTGGGATCCAAATAATGAATCAATAACGAATCATTAATTTGTAACAATCTATGTATATAAATATGAAATTGTCTATTCCATGAAATAGTTTAATTAAATTACAAAGGTTTTGATATTTTTATAGGTCATTTACAAACCGGGTACCATACTAGAGGTTCATAAGAGCCTTACTCACCCCGGACACCTCCTATGCCATTTTGAAATTAATGTTCACCTTAATTGCTATCAGTTATGTTTTTTTTGTATTATCCATCTGTTCTTGTGTTGCTCTGTTGCCAAAACAACACAAGAATGGGTTCAGGTAATTTAATAACTCCTATTAGGAGTGAATAGACAATTGTCTTTATTGTTTTTATTTGCAAATCTTATCTTGCAGAGCATGTTTGCTGTTATATTTTGTAACAAAATTGTCAAACGCAAAAATGTGTTAAACTATTCAATTAACGACAATAACTCCTACAAGTAGACACTCAACATGTTTTTTACATATTTGTAGATTGTTGATATATTTGCTCTTTACAATATCTGTATTTATTATATTTTTAAATAAATAGCCAAAAACTGCATGAAATTGGTAAAAATTCAAATACAAGAACAATAGCTCTTATAAGCGGTCAGATTAACAATTGCAGCAATGATGACTTATTTGTAGATCTTAGTTTGCTGGTCAGTTTTGTCCATTTCAGTTTCTCTCTATCTAGTATTGTTGATGTTATTAATACCACTCGATCGATATCCTGCTGGTAGTCTGTTGGTCCTCGAGACTAGCACAAGCCCAAACGCCAGTACGTTGATACGATCCCCCAAATAACATTTTACTTAAATGTGCTTTAATAAAGCATCACTGAAGACAATCTAATTAAAATACAGATCCTGTAACCACGCTTACAAAAATCTGACAATACTCTGTTCTACATGTACCTTTTGTTCTGGTAGTTATTACATCAGTCAATAAAATCGCTGCCTGAATAATTTTGAAGGTGTGTATCATTATGACAAATCCATAGGATACCGAGAGGTCTTTCAAACAGAAACTAGAACAGAGTGTTGTCGACCGTTGATGTTGTTACCATTCGAGTCTTAAGAGAGAGGCGAAAGATATCAAAGGGACATTCAAACTTATAAGTCGAAAACAAACTGACAACGCAATTGCAAAAACAATAACAAAAAAAAAGACCAAACGCCAAACAACGGTACATGTATACAAAACACCACAAAGAACACTAGTTTGGTTAGAGCAACAAAAACCGCACCAAAATCAGGTAGTGAAATCAGGTGAACCGGAAGGGTAATCAGATATTGCTTCACATGTGACATCCGTCATGTTGCTTGTGTGAGTAAAAACGCGGTGGTGTGTCTTATTCGGTAGGTCACATTCGAGGAAAAGTGGACGGTATTGTGGTTTCGACAATTGAAACATATCCGTCGTCGTCTGTAAAACAGCTATTTCATAACAGTCAACCAACTCGTGATGGCGTCCATAAAACTTTCGAAGCGAGGATTTCAAATTCATCAATTGGAACTCTAGTTTTAATAGCTTCCTTTCAGAAGAACCCTCTATCAAGGAAAGCATGATAAGAAATGCAAGCTCTGATATATTTCATCATCTTGGACATATATACTCCATGCTGCTGGAATGTTGTTTCATATATATGGAAAGTTAATAATCAGAAAACTGAAATTATCTCTTGTGTAGTAAAGTTTTGAACTCAATCAATCCTCGTTTTCAATTTCTAGATGTAAGTCAAGATGTAAGGTAGACTTAACTACATGCATATCCGCCATATCCTTTATTTCAAGTTCGATTGGATAGATTCGTTCAACATAGTCACCAAACGTTGAATTAAAGTTTATCGGAAGATACCAATACATTGTTGATACATATTCCATATCAACTTCTCAAATAAAACATGATGGTCTTGAAGTGTAGATTCTAGGTACTGACGTTGTTTATCATCTTAATTACGTGTTATAGTGTTCTTTTTATTTGTCTCAATACATCCTTAACCTTTACTGTTTAGTCTATTTTGGTATATACTTCTGCCGTGGCAATGTATTTATACAGCCCGCCATTGTGTCATTGTGCTGTTGTCAGTTTTATATTCTTGTCTTTCATTTTTGCTTATGTACTTTGTCTATAGGGTTTCTATATGCCATTTTGATTTTCTTTGTTGAAATTGTGAATTGTTTTATGGTGATTAAGATTATAAAACAATGTTGACTGCTGTTCCCCAATTTTTTACATTTTTACCTGTTATGTCTGTTTATTTTGCTCACACATTGTTAATGTTAGTCAATATAATGGAATTATATGCGACTAGCATACAAGTGAGAGGTTTAGTTAGCAATAAAACCAGGTTTAATCCACCATTTTCTACATTAGGAAAAGCCTGTACGAAGTCAGGATTATGACAGTTGTTTTCCATTCCTTTTGATGTGTTTGAGCTTTTGATTTTGCCATTTGATAAGGGACTTTCCATTTTGAATTTTCATTGGATTTCGGAATTTCTGTTATTTTACTTTTTATTTAGTATGAGGACATCATCTTTATAGTGGAAAGTGAAGTTAAAAGATCATGCTATCTTCTTTTCATTCAAGCTCATCTTGTGTGAATTCAGCCTCACGTAACTGTCAACAATGTAAATTTTGAGTAAAACCGTCATTAAAAAAGCAATAACTCATATATAACAGCCAATTTACAATTTGGTTGATGTTAATACATTGTAGATTGCTGATTATTTCATTTGTTAGCAGTTGCACTCTTTCTACTATTTAATCGTTTCTAAGCTTGTAATTCTGTGGCAATTATTCCTATGAGGACTCAATTTACAATTTTGGTTATTTGAAATAGTTGTCGGTCTCGGTTTGCTGAACATTTTAATTTTTTATAGATTCTCCATCAATTACAGTTTTCAAATTTGCATAAAATAGTAAATATAACCATTTGAGACTAATGATCATATGAGGAGTCGATTGGGGATTTAGCTATAGGAACTGTTGACATATATTGTAGAGCTATGTAAGTTTGAAATTAACATTGACACGATCATAACAGCAAACGGAAATCAGAACGCCAAATAATGTATTATATTTACACTTACACCAATTTAAAGATGTCGTTTTTTGATTACCAAATATGTATGATTTACTTCATTCGATCTTTATCTCGCTATTATTATTGTAATAACAATTCGGGAAAATGTATATTTCTTAAAATTCGCAGTGAAACCTGCATGTAAAAGTAACCCTCGGATACTTTATAAGAAAGGTGACATTCTACATTTCGATGGAAAGTTTTTCCACTCACAAAAGAGAATTACTCAGCAAGGAGCAAGGACACTTTCTTCCTTATTCGACACTCGAGCGATTTTTAATTAAACATAGTCAAGCATCTTTTTTTATTTAATAGTATGGTGGCCTCTATACTTAACTATGCGCCTGAAATTTGGGGATTTCATCGAGCCAATGACACAAAACTCGTTCATAATCATTGCTGTCTTTTTGTATTAAAGCTTGGCAAACATGTACCAATCGCCATTTTATGTGGTGAACTTGGTTATTTACCTATGTTCATTTTCAGGAAACATAGAATTATAAGATTTTTGTTGCATATAATATATAATAATCATAATATTGTATATGTTATTTATAACCTCATACGCATTGATGCTTCAAATGGTACGAGAAACTGGGTTTCAAACGTGCGCGATTTACTATTTAGTTTATGTCTAAACTATGCATGGATTGATCAAGAGAACATTAATGTATCTTTTGAATAAAATGTCGTATAAACGATCAATACTACCAGAACTAGTTTGCTATTTTGAACGATTATGAAAAACTGTGTTTATATAGAACATTAAAAAATGATCTTTTACAGGATTACTTTAATTATGACTTTAATAGTAATTTACCTTCTAAATTACGTAGTGGAATATTAGAGAATTTTAGGTTTTTGACGTACTTTAATGTATTTTACCTTAATAACATTTCAAATAAATTTTTATTGGTATCTCCCTTTGGCCATTAAACTCATAAATTAAACAAAAATCATATATTTTGACGTACGTAAAAGGTAAAATAACAAAAATACCGAACTTAAAAAAAGAATTCAAAACGGAAAGTCCCTTGTCAAATGGCAAAATCAAAAGCTCATACACATCAAACGAATGGAAAACAACTGTCATATTCCTGACTTCGTACAGGCATTTCCTAATGTAGAAAATGGTGGATTAAACCTGGTTTTCAAGCTAGCTAAAACCTCTCACTTGTGTGACAGTCGCATAAAATATTATTATATTGACAACATTGTGTGAAGAAATCAAACAGACATAATAGGAAAAAAGGTCAAAAATAGGGGTACAGCAGTCAGCATGATAAATGTTATAATCTCAATCACCACAAAAAGAAACAAATATGTCAACAAGGAAAAACAAAATGGCATATAGACAAAGCACATAAGCAAAAATGAAAGACAAGAATACAAAAAATGACCATATCATAACACAATGTCGGGATGTTTAAGTATCGAGCCACGCCAGAAGGATATTACCAAAAATGGACTAAACAGTAAAGGTTAATAATTTACAAAGACAAATAAAACAACACTATTGTGCGTAATTAAGATGATAAACAACGTCAGTACATAAAATCTATACTTCAAGACAATTATGTATTATTTGTGAAGTTGATACGGAATATTTATCAACAAGGGTTGGTATCTTCCGATGAACTTTTTTACCAGATGTTCTTTGACATATCCCTGTTTCATCAACTTTCTGCTCAGACACTGGTGACGTTTTATAAAATCTATGTAGCAGCTTCAAGCTCTTGAATACCGAATGAGTTGTGAAATGTGTACCCACACGCCTAAACTTGGACATGGTAAAATTGTGTTTGTCTCCGTTTCTCCATTTAGTTCAAATCTATTTTAAAATAGCGTACTCCACGATAGAGAGAGTTTTCACTTATATTTGAACATACGAAAAGGCTAACTCTGTTCGCAGGGGACACAGGTAAATTTTGAATGATATATAGTTAACAATTATTCCTATTTTTAAGAAAAATATATTTTGACCAGGGAGGTGTAAAAAGAAATCTGAGAGCGGAGTTTTACCATATAAAATAATGTTAAATAAATAAGATGTCGCAGTTAAAAACTAAAAACAAATTCGCGGAAAAATCATACTTGCTTCACAAAACATGCCCCCTTCAAGTTATATGGTCGGTCCCTAACTGATATAAATCGAAGGCGCTTAGAGCACAAATATAAGATTACCTCCTTTGAGGCGGACACTAATCCAGTCTTTAAACAGTTTCAAATTGAAATTTATACGAGAATATACTACGGATACAATGTAAATATGCAAAATCATAATATCTGTGGTGGGCCACCTGTTGAGTAAGCTCCTTATAAAATTATCCTGTTTGTTTCGATAGAACTTGTCGTGCACGGACGTAGATTCCTGTGCGGGTGTTGTTAATCTGCGTGCAACACCCGGTGCGCCAGCACCTAAAAGTACCACAACTACGATGGTCTGGTACAAGGCAACTAAATTTTACATACACCTTTTGGCTATAATTATTTCGGCTCCAAAATGAATACACATTCGGCACTTCAAATATCAAACAATAAAACGCACTACCACAGTTACACCATCAATAAACACATGCATTCGGCTTATAAAATTACATACACTTTTTTGGTTTCTCTAAATTATACATACATGTAGCAGCGTTCTTCAATTTGGCTTTAATATTTTCTTACTAAATTCGGAGGACTCACACTTTGGCTTTAACTTTTTGCTTTTAAATCCTTTCCGTACATCAAATTTCCAGCACGGGCTACGGCAGTCCTCCTTTACAATACAGTGTTGTTTTTTTGTTTGTTTTTTTCGGTTTTTTTTTGGGAGGGGGGGAGGGGGGTTATGTATAACTTATTTAACTTTCAAAATTATTAATTTTCTCTTTAATTTACTTTTGGCTTATTATTTTTCAGTATTTATAACTTTTAATAATTTTCTTTTGTTTATGTTTGAATTTCCTCAGTCCCGAGAAAACGGATAAAAAGCATAAAAAATGAATGAAAAATATTGACTTTCAAGTACCGAAAACGTTTGTTGTAAATTATTTTTTATATGAATGTGTTATTTTCTAATTCTTGTTCATATTTCACTTTCTTTCAGTTGAAAGAATGTCCAAGGAAGCAACCCTTTGATTTTTAGGGGAGGGGATGCTTGGATAAATTAATTTTATTTTTAACTTTTATGGCGAAATTTCTATTAAGCCTATTTTTTTACCTCGCTTGCCAACATGTTTTTTTTTTGTTTTTTTTTTTATGATCTTATTTTGCGGCCAATTTTTCTTTGCCTTTTGATTTTGAAAATGCTCATCCAGAATTTGTTTCACCATAAATTCGGGTCCTGCCTATTTATTTCAAATTTGAAATTGCTGAAACCGGCGAAGGGGGACAACAACAATTTACATTATGTCTTATAATTATAAACCTAAGTTACTTGCATTAATGTACGTAATTTTCGTTTAAAACTTCTTTATTAAAACTGAATATAAAAGTTGGTCGTTTTGACAATATGGCAAGAGAAAATCGTATATGTACATGTTGATATATGAATTGTATAGAAAATGAGTATCATTTTGTATTAGTATGTCGTGCCTTTGGATCATTGAGCCTACAGTTTTTACCTAAATATTATTGTTCATGGCCAAATAATAGAAAACTTATGTTTCTTTTGTAACCTAGTTCAAGGAATTTAACCGAAAAATTGTGTATTTTTTTTAATGCGGTATGGAAGTTAAGATAACAAATTATAATTGCATAACAGTTGAAGTTCTGTGCTTGCTATGACTTTATCGTGCTTGCTATGACTTTATTGTGCTGTTCTCTGTTTACTGTAATTATTGTCTATATTTTATGTTATTTTGCTACAGCATTATGTTTGTTTCTGCAATAAGCAAACTATATGAACCTACGATGGCTGATGTTTTAGGACTAACTACCGACTCCGGTTTTATTCTACCGGTCAAGTATCTTTCAGTTACGGGTTTTAAAAATCGAAGTTTTAAATTTTACTGAAAAAAATATATCAATAAGTCTTACGCATTACTTGAGTGCGTCTTCTCTTTAACTTTTATATCAATTATGTTTTGTAGAAGTTGTTAAAGAAGGTTCTGAATAGGTAAGGGGCTTCATTTATTCTCTATTTGTTTTATATTTTAGCACGCCATTACCTCAAGATCTCTATTTTTCCTCAATTAATCTGTATTCTGTAAACCCCATCCACTCTTTAAAAATTGTAGGTCTAACGACGCGCTTGATATGCATAAAGTTGTTTGTGACAGGTTTAAGCATCATACGATCGACTTGAGAAAATGTTCGTTCATGCCACCCTTATGCTAATTTTATCATGGATAGGAATTATATTTGTTAATATCTTTATACCGAACGTTATATCCCTTCCTAGATGAAATACAATGTTGACAAATATCTACACCTACCCATGTTAATATGAGCATGTTTTATATATAGAGCATGGCATGGTAGAAATATGCCGATTGTGTATTCGAAGCGACCCTTTAAAACACGTCCGAAAGACCAGTCAAACCACTGTTTTCAATTATGATCCGAGCAAATTAAATATTGTACGTGTACCGTACCAACTCTGTGCTCAACGTCGCCCACCAGTTAAACGGATACCTTTCTCTAATATTGGATTTACTGCCAAACACGTCCGGAGACCTAATCTCTATAAACTACTCATTCATTTGGGTCATATTCAGTAGAACTCGTGAGTAAACCTAAATTAAAAATATATGTATATAAAAACAAAGAGAGAAAAAAAACACGAGGGAATCGCACAGACAGATTATTGCTCAGTTTGGTTGCAATTGGCATGTTAGTTTCAGAGGAGGACAGATTAATAAAAGTTCTGGAACGCAACGTGATAGATCATAAATAAACGTAACAAACTTTTGCCCACGTGCCCAATCGCTCGAAAATGAAAAGTCGTTTCATCCAATATAAACATAAAAGCATCCAGCGGTCTAAAAACTAGTTTAATCTAATTAAGAAATAATTCATGGAAGCCATAGATTTGTTGGAAATTTACACATGGCCTGGGCCGTCATATTTGAATTTTATCCTGAGTGTTAGCTAGGGATAAAATTAACAAATATCACGGCCCAGGCCATGTGTTAAATTCCAACAAATCTATGGCTTCCATGCCTTATTTCGATTCTAAAAGGACAAATACTGTAATTTAAAATCTGAAGTGAGGGTAAGTACATGTATTCCGTGTATGTGGCTGTTCTATTTTACCCCTGTTAGATAAAGCGAAAATTTTCCAATAAAACTATAGCTTGCGTTAATTATTTTTTGAATAACCGCTAGAAAAAATGTGTGATTCTCAACCCTAACATTTGCCATTTTTAATTTACAATTTTTTTTTCGTAAGCTCCCGTCAATTCCACAGCTGATATTTCGTTACTAAGGAGCCGCCATGTTGACTTGCTGAAATCAGTTAATGTGCGAATAATGCAATAGAAAATAAAATAAAACAACACCAACCTGAAAACTCCATTTTAATACAATATTATCCGAATTTGGAGCGTTGATGTAAAGGGAAAACCTTCACCTTGAACGTTTTCATTCGTATGACGTCACGTTTTGAAATGACGTTAATGCGTTAATAGCATTAATAGTATTTTGCGGAATTTTATTTTATTTGGATTTTGTACATTTTCCGAGCTCTGATACATTAATTCTTTCTGTTATGCATAAAAAAAAGAATAAAGGATATGTAGTTTGTTTTCCAATTGAAATTTTAAACACAGCGAAATCGGCATATCGTATGCACGTAGGTAATGTGGATTTACATGGGAGGTATACACATGTAGTAACAGCTATTATTATGTACACCTCTGAGTCTGCGCTAAGTAAAGATATATCGGGAATTTTATCACGGTGTTGTTTACAAAGCGAAAGAAGCACGACATATTAGAATTTTAAATCAAATTAAAATGTAATTTATTAATACAAAGTTTTTCTTACCAACAAAACTTTATCATGAATGGGTTTAGATATCTTTAAAGTTTGTTCAAGTAGTTTTTAAGTATCAAGTTCATCTTTTATCAGTCATGCGCAAAAAGTAAAAACTTTTATCCGGAAGATATATTATGTATTTATTTAACAAAAGTGAAGTAAAGTTTTGTCACCTTTAAAATACAGGTAAGGTATTTTCAGAGTTTACGTATTAAAAAAGTAATATAAAACATTCACAGTCATCATTATAATGCTTATCTTTTTTTCTACATTCATTGCATAAGAAAAAAGGTCATAAATAAAATCCAGTCATGACCTATATATATATATATTTACTGGTGATCCAATGGATGGATCTGTCGTAGAGTTGTCACTTGTTTAGACGTACTTATCAAATAATTATGTCTGTGACTGCATCTTACGATCCTTTACGACAGATAATTTAGCTAATCTGCAATCAATTCCATCTTCATGCCCAATATATCATGTACTGTGTTACAACTCTAGATTCTACTGACGAGGAAAGGTAATACTAGGCCACCGAAACCTGAATTTTTTAGATCAGTCTAGGTGGCCGAGTGGTCTAGAGCGCTGGACAAAGTGCAGGCGGTGTTGTCACGATATCCCAATAGCATGTGTTCGAATCCCGGCGAGGGAAGAACAAAAATTTGCTTCTGCAAATTTGCAGATTTAACATTGTTATGGTGATATTTAGAGTAATTATGTATATATTTAATATATATTGACATGTGTTCTTGACAAATAGTGTATACTACAGTGTAGACAAAAAAACATAATAGACCTTTTGGGCCTATAATATAATACACTTAAAACATTAAACATCACTGCTACTAAAAGCTGCTTCCGTATTGCCAAGAGCAATTAAATACAATGTTCAATAATAATATAATACACTAATCCGAATTTAATTATCTACTGTCATCTCGTTTATCATTTGCATGATTTAAGTGTGTGGAATATATCGATTTTTTCAATCGGGTGGTTTACCTTGTTTAAAGGTGAGAGCATGCTTTTTAATGGATATTTATTGTGGAATTTGCCGATTTTTTATCTTTATACTTGCCATGGATTTTAAACTTATTAGGTGAGTAATTTATTTATTTATATAGTTAAGATATCTGTCTGCTTGAAAATATTATAAACATGTTTTGTTTTCTTGAAGAAACACAAATTTCTGTTCTTTAGATTAAATTTAAAACACTCGGACTGTAGTGTATTCGTTGTCTAGATTGTATGATCTTACGTATTCGTCAAATTCAGATTTAAAGAGATTGACTACATTGGTAGATTTATTTCTTTGGTTTGATACATAGTACGATTTGTATATTGCAAATCCTATAATTGTCAGAATTATATTGAATCCGATATACTCGCTATCTGTTATTTTATAGCCTATTACTATATGTTTTAAGTTGATTTTTTTTTATTAAAATTCATTTGAGATAAGATTTTATTCATAATTTTGCAAAATTCTTTTAGAAATTTACATTCAATAAAAAAGTGATGATACGTGTCTTTAAGTTGACAAAGTTGACAATATGGGCTAGATTCGATTTTCCATTTGCACAGATTTTCTCTATTTGGTAAAATGCAACTTATCAATTTCCATCTAAACAATTTTAAGTTTATTCAGTTTTAAATTTAAACATATATTTGGTAAAATTGTAATTGATTTCTAGTTCTTTTTTCCATTTATGTATGCCAATGTTTGGAGATTTTTTTTGTCGAACGAGGTATTGATATACGTTTTTGTTGCTTAAATTTTCAATTTCAATGTTTTCTTTGTTTATATTGATAAATAGTCTGTTAAAATTTACATTTGATTTGATGGATTCTTTCGTAGCTAATACTTTTAGCCATGAGGTTGGTATTGCGTTTTTGACTATCGAAATTTCTGAAATCCAATTTTTAGTGTTTTGCAGTTTTTTAAATATTTTTTCGTGGGCAATTTTTCCATTGTCGTCAATAATATCATTAAGATAAATGAAATCACTGTGTATCCAATAATGCATAATAAACGGCTTGTTTTGAAATTTGATAAATGTATTACCCCAGATAACTTGCTTTCTTATCTCGACAAAGTTTTTCAGTTCTGTGTTTTTCGTTTCATGAATTAAAATCCAACTTTTTATTATATCTAAGTCAAAATCTGGAATATCCTTAGTTATATCTAGTTTCTTTAAGGTTTTGTTATTTAAATTCATTCTAAAAATAAGGAAATTTTCTCCTAATTTATTTAATGTCCAATTTTCTTGTTTTGCCTGTAGCAATCTAGAGACCCATCTTATCTTAAGAGAGGAGAAGTAGTTTTTTATGTCTGTCCTATTTAGCCCTCCCTGGTTGTAATCTGCTACCAATATATATCTTTTAACTTTATCTTTTTTACCATCCCATATAAAACTAAAGATTTCTCTTTCTAGTTCAAGTATATTTGAGATACTTAAAACTGTAACGTTTGCTAAAAAAGTAAATAGTGGTATAATGAGGGTTTTAACTATTAGAATTTTACCTAAGATTGTTAAGTTTCTTTTTTTCCACGATGTAATTAGATTTCGACTCTTTTCATATCTAGTATCCCAATTAAATTTTTCACAATCTTTTTTATTGATGCCGAAATATATTCCTAGCACTTTTACGCGTTTAGCCGTGAAATTAATTTCATCTACTTTATCCCTACAATGTTTGAGTTTACCAATCCAAATTCCTTCTGTTTTATTTTTATTTAGTTGTAGTCCGGAAAAAGTTCCAAAAATTTCGATTATATTTAATGCTGTTCGGATTTCTTCTTTCGATTTGAGGAATAGAGTTGTCTCATCAGCAACTTGCGTGATTTTCAAGCTATGTGTTTTACTATCAATTTTTAATTCTATGCCTCGTATATTTTTGTTTTGCCTTAGTTGGTTGGCCATTACTTCTACTGACATTACAAAAAGTAGAGAAGAGCACGTGCATCCCTGCAGGATACCTCTAAGGGGTCCAAAAGGGGCAGATATTCACCCGTTATTAAATATAGAGCTATTTATATTTGTATACAAGGTTCTTATCCAATTTATGAAGGGTTTATTAAAACCAAAATATTCTAAAGTATGATACATAAAATTCCATTCTAATGTGTCGAAAGCTTTCGAAAAATCTATGAATAAAATAGTACCTTCTATATTGATTTTATCTGCGTAATTTATTACATCTTGTATTTAGCGTTGATTAAAACCTATGAATCTGTTCTTGATGTATCCTGTTTGATCAGCATTATAATTAGATTTAGGATTTCTTTTTATTCTTAAAGCTAGAGTGTAGGAGAGTATTTTATAATCACTATTTAATAATGATATTGGTCTGTAATTTGCAAGTTCCAACGGATCATTTTTTTATAAATTAGATTCAGTAAACTTTGTCTATGCGTAAATGGCAGTTGTATATTTCCAAGCTAAAATTAAAAAAAATTACAAGTAGAGGTCCAGGATTTTTTTTAAAGTTAATGCTTATCCCGTCTATTCCTGGACTTTTGTTTAATTTTAGATTATTGACTGCAATAGTTAATTCTTCTAGCGTTACGTATCCGTCACAAGATTTACTTTCTTCTTCTGATAATTTATAACGAAGTTTTGTTTCAGTAATATATTTTTGAACATCTATATCCGGTTTTTGTTTAGTGTCGTAAAAATTAGCATAAAAATCCCTTTCAAGCTTTAATATTTCATCTTGATCTGTTACTATTTCCCCTTTATTGTTTCTCAGTTTAAGTATTGTCTTTTTCGTTTGTTTAGATTTTTCAAGACCTAAGAAATACGCGTTATTTTTTTACTCCTTTTTCTACCCACTCTTGTTTTGATCTTATTTGAGCTCCTTTAGCTTTGCATTCATATTGGTTTTCTAGCTCTTTTTCTAATGTGGATATTTTGTCTTTTATAAAATCATTTTCCTCATTATTTGATTTCTCATATAATATTTTTAGTTATGATTCTAAATTACGTGTTACATTTTTCCAATTTTGTGCTTTAATTTTACTATACTTAATACTATATTCCTTTATTTCCAATTTTAAGGAGTCTCACAGAAGTCTTGGATCTATTTCATTTTTTTCTATCTTATTACTATGTTTTTGTATTATTTTACTTATATTGCATTCATACTCTTGCTCGTCGAAGATACCGTTATTAATTTTTCAGTATCCCGGGCCTCTAGTTTCAGTTGAGACAGATTGTAATTGTATGGAAACTGCTTGGTGGTCAGTGCTTTAAATAAGAAAAGGCCTAATATCACACAACTTAACGTTTAACACGAAATCTTTTTTGACTAGGAACATGTCAATTCGACTAGACTGGACTGGATTTTTACGTCTCCATGTATATTGGATCTTTTGGAGGTTAAAGTGTCTCCATATATCTATTAAGTCAATTGATTTTATTAAATTTATTAGGCTATTGACTGGTTTACTAACTTTTTTACGAGTATTTGAATTTGTTCTATCTACATTTGTAAGGGCATCATTCATGTCTCCTCCTAAAATTATTGTACCTAATGCGTTTTTGTTTATAAAGTCATTTAATTTTTGTAAAAGCTTTTTCGTTCAGATTCTATATTTGGGGCATATATGTTTGTAAGAGAATAGATTATATTTTCAAATTCGATATTTATCATGATTGTTCGATCTTCTGAATCGTTATGTTCATCTATTAATTTATAGTCTCATTTTTTATTAATTAATATAGCTACCCCTTTGCTTGACGTCGTCTCATGGCTATAATAAAAAGATTGATCTGATTCAATAGTTAGAACGTTTTTAGAGATGTATTGAAGTGAGTTTCTTGAACAAAAGATATTTTACATTTCCGATTTTTTCATCCATTTGTAAAATCTTGATCTCTTTTGTTTATCTCGAAGTCCTTTAACATTTGCTGTACAAATGTGCAGGTTATTTAACATGTTTTAATTAAAAAAATAAGTTGATTTTTATGCCACTTTTAATAAGTGAGTGTACTTTATATTTGGGTCGCGTTTTTAAAGTACACTTTATTTCAGCCACATTTAATCGTCGTTTTTTAGCGTGGGAGTTACCTGTGAAAATGATTACGTTTATCAATTTTCTTTTGTGTAATTGGATTGTAACAATAGTGTTATAGTCTGTTTCACGAATGAGTTTGTCAAATATTGAGATGATTATTTTGAAACATATAATATATACTCATAACAATTACTGCATACTTGAAATACAAATCACACAACATATATACATAGAACTATTAATTAAATTACAAATTGACACATTTTTTTGCTCTTTGCAAACTAAAACAAATGTATGATTTTGACGGAGAAAAACTAATATACTGTCTCTAATTTTCTCAGCTAGTAATGTGGTTATATTTTCAAATCTGATGAAACGGATCTGTTTGTTTTTGAAATTTTGTTTTTCATAACATTTTTACATTGTCTATTTGCTTTTTGCATAATATTTTCCTTTTCTTTATTTTCATTTTCTTTATTTTCAGTTACTTTATAGGATTTATACTGTGAAGATGTACTAAGAATAGTTATTAAGGTGAGTAAATATTTACTTTTGATTTGATCTTGTTGAGTACGTCTACTATAGATATATAAAGTTGTAAACCTAACGGGATTTAAATAGAAAAAAGACTGGTTAAATTTTCTAATATAAGTGTTTTTATCTCTGTCAATTTTTGTTTTGGTATTATCAAATATACTTCTATTGATAGTATCATATACATGACAATATATGTTATAATACAATATGTGCAAAATTTCACTTTTCTTTTTTTGATATTTACTCTTGTTAAATTTGTTTAGGAATCTTTGTTCCATTCAATTATCTTTCTATAAATACTAAATACACACAAACATAAATACGCAAAGGAGAGACAAGACATATAAACATACATATTTTTTTTTTTTTTTTTTTTTTTTGTTATACATAAAATGTTTCTATAATTTATAGATGTCTTTTCCCATCTGGTTGATTGGGAGTAGGTGGGGTTCTTTCCTTAGCTGCATTTGTTTTATTGTTTGGGGTTAAAAATTTTGAAATGTCAGATTGTGCAGATGAAGAATCTCTTTTTGTTTCTGCCTGTTTTGATGTCTGTTGTTTAGAAGAATCACTTGAAGTTTTGTTTCCTTCCTTTTTGGCAGACTTTTTTGCCTTCTTTTTTTCTTTTTTTGCATCAGCTGCTGTTATTTCTTTGTTCAATGACATAGAATGTGTTAGGTTGTCTTCGTCATTTCCATCTGTTAGTTCAGGTTGTTCATCAGTATCATTTTTTTTTGTCATTTTCTGTAAGAGCTTGAATTTGTTGTCTTTCTTCAGTATTTGTATTTTCATCAACATTAGCTGTTGTTGTTTCTTGTTGCTCATCTCTTTCTGTTTCAGAATTTTTTCCCATCTTCTTTGCCAAAAAGGTAGGGCAGTCAAACATCTTATGACCATATTCATTGCATAGTCTGCATTTCCATTCATTTGGACAGTTTTTATATTATGACCTTTCAATTGACATCTGTTGCACAAGAACATGTCTGTATCTTTCGTTTGACCAAAGTGATATATTCTTGCTGTGTATTGACCTATTGTAAGAAACCTTGGGAGTGGTTTGTCAAATTTTTTGCATATGACTACTCTTTCTCGTGTCCAGCAGTTGGTAACCAAGTTATCAACCCTGAGTCTTTCTCTGTTTATAGTGAAAACCTCTATGTTTCTTTGTCTTAATTCTCTGTCAATTTGACCATCATCTGCTGATAGTGGGATGTTTTTTACCCGTTCTGTTGTTGTTATGTACTCACATTTTTGGTAATATGGGTTCTGGGAATGCAAAGGTACCGACTTGTTTCTTAATGTGATGCCTTCTGTTAGCAACAGCATTCTGTCTACTTCACTGTCTAGGTAGATTCTTCACATTTGTTTTATTCTTTGAATGCCTCTTACAAACTGTGGTTTTATCTTATGTTCAAGTGCTTTGTATATTTCTACGTGTGTTATCCAAAGTTCTTTAGGCGGAGTTTTGTTGCCAAAGAAGTCTGGTTCTTTAATAAAGATAGGTTTTACTCCTTTTAGCTTTGGTTCAGGATCGCTGTAAGCCTGATAATTTACACTATGATGTTTGACAACATTGGAAAAAGATGGCGCCGAAGTATTGTCACTACCATCGGACTGAGACTTGTCAATTTCTGATTGTTTACCATCTGCATCTTGCTTGTTATTTTCATTTCGCTGTTCTGGTATCATGTTTTGGTTATTGGACATTGTTCTAATGACTTACTCTTCTGTAACTAGACACTTTTTATGATTTTTTCGTCAGAGCTATTCACCACTAGACCGTAGTTAAAGGGCGATATTTCTCTTTCTACTAGGATGCATATGAACTTTCCATCCTAGAATATAATGTTTTACGAAACCTCTTAGTAAAAATGACACCGTTTTAGCCGTAAAAGAGTTCCTATTGGAAATTGCATTGCCTATATTTACAGAAGTACAACCTATATTTGGCGAATAGAGAGAACATGTAGAACTTCACCAAATCTTGTTTATCTTCAGAAATTTTAATGAAATAAACTCAAATATAAAGTTTTATAAATATTTCATGAAGATTGAGAAAATCCTGGGCCTTAACGATGATGACTCAGCATAAATTCACAGTTATGTTGTATGCAGATACCTTATGTTATGCAGTTTCCGTCAATCATTTGTCTAATATCCTTGACCTCATTTCCATGGTTCAGCGACTGCTTGAAAAAAAAGTTATTTTGTCATGTGAATTATTCACTTATTATGAGTAATGGGATAACTATATTTGGTATATGGGTTCCTTGCAATGTCTACATGTCCGTCTGACAGAGTTTCCCTGACCTCGACCGTATTTTATTGATCAGTGATCAAGGTTAAAGTTACGTGATTAGGTCCGTTTCTCAAATACTATAAGCAGTAGTTCAACTATATTTGGTGTATGGAAAGATTGTTATGGGTACATGTCAGTCTGGCAGGTTGCATCCGACCTTAACCTCATTTTCATTGTTCATTGTCCAATGTTAAGTGTTTGTGTTTTCGTCTGTTTTTCAAGTACTATAAGCAATAGGTCAACTATATTTGGTGTATTGAATGATTGTAAGGTGTACAAGTCTGTCTGGCAGATATCATCTGATTTTGACCTCATTTTCATGGTTCATTGGTCAATGTTAAGTTTGTATGTTTTGGTCTGTTTTTCAATCAGCATACGCAATAGGTCAACTATATTTGGGTATAAAAAACATGTAAGGTGTATATGTCTGTCTGACACAATTTATCTGACCTTGACCCCATTGTCATAGATTTTTAAAAATGTTAAGTTTCTGTAATGTTTTTAGTAAAACCTTTATCTGTAAGACTTTCAACATAAAATTAATGGTCAGTGGAGAAAATAACAGAGATTACAATGCATTCAGGAAATCGTTCCGCATGTGGATATGACCAAATTCCTAACATTGTCTTAAAGTTCCCTTTGATTATAAAAACACCACATCATCTGTTTCAGTTTATATTCGACACAAGCATTATTCCGTCTATATGGAAAAATCTGTTATTTGTCCAATTCTGAAAGATTGTAACACTGATTCTAGAGACCCAATGAACAGAGGGATAAGCTTGTTGCCTTGTATAAGTAAACTTTATAGTGCTCTAATCAATATAAGAGTCACGAAATATTCAGAAGATAATGACTTATTACCCGACGAACAAAACGAATTTAGACGGAATCGTTCATGTGAGGACCATATTTTCACCCTTATTAGTGCAGTACGAAATAACTTATTTGTTGCTTTTATCGACTTAAAAAAATGTTTTGATTTCATCGACAGAGAGATGATGCTGTACAAACGACTGCGATATAAAAACAATGGAAAAGTGTATAACTCTATACAAAACTTTTACCAGAGTTCTGAATCATATGTGGGATTAAACGGGAAACTAACCGACTGGTTCTGTTGCGAAACGGATGGAAAACAAGGGACAATTTATCTCTGACATTGTTTTCGATAATTGTTAATGACCTGGAGATGGAGTTAAACGATATGAATCTGAATTGGATTAAAATACAGCAATCTCTCCATACTGCTTTACGCTGACGATATAGCACTTTTGGCAAAAAATGAGAAGGATTTACAACAAATGTTGGACAAACTTCAGGACTGGTGCAAAAGATGGAGAGTTTTGATAAACACAAATAAATCGAAATGCGTTCATTTAAGAAAATCTAGAGCTAAAATTTAAAACCTACAGGCTTCGAATTCAGCATTTGTCAAAATAAACATGAAACTGTAAATGAATACAAATATTTAGGAGTCGTGTTTACTCATAATGGAAAATATCAAAGGGATACAGACGAGCATTGGGGAAAATATTAGCAAATATTCATCAGTTTAAATAGTTTGGAGTTAAATCGTACGAAAAACTGTTTTATGCCTGTGTAGTGCCTATATTAGACTATGGATCAGGAGTTTGGGGATGCCGTAAGTTCCAAGCTTTGGAGAATATTCCAAATAGGGCGTTAACTAGCTTTCGACTATGATTATGAGCGATGCCGAAACAACTGGTGTTTTGATTTTAAAGACATTCTTAATAAAAAAGATTTAGTAGTCATTTCGAACGTAAGGAAATCATCAATATTTCGTTATTTGATTCCCGTTTACATAACTACTACCTTTTTATGTGGAATAGGGACATTATTAACGTTTCGACTGTAAAAAAATGGTTGAACAAGAATCATACGTTAAACTGAATCCCGCAAATCGCAGCGATCGTGCCTAGCACAATTACGGTGTGGGATTCTACTGCTAAGAATAGAGACGGGAAGGTACATTGGTGAACAACGAGAGGAACGCATTTGTAGATTTTGTAGGGAAAACAGCATTGAAGATGAATCACACTTTGTTCTTGACTGTTCGTTTTATACTGAACGTAGAAGTAAACATTTCGAAGATATTATATAAGATTTCAAAACTTATAACTGAGGAATGACGAAAAACTTTACCATGTGTTAATCAATTTTCCATGAAAAACTGCTAAATATCTGGTGGACGCCATAAAGAAGTGACGTCACGTTGTATTTGGACAAGTTTAATTTATTATCTGAAACTTTGTTGATAAACATATATCCTAATTTAATCATTATATTTTCTGGTTAGATAAACCGATTATTGAGACTTTTTATCAAATCCGTGACACAAATCGAATATGATATTTAATATATAAGGTGACTTATAGACACATTAGGTCGGTTGTATATGTATATATTATGTTAAACTATGTTAATTGACACACTATTGTAATTACACAAGTCACTATAATAAAAAATCTACTTAGTACTTACTTACTTACTTTACTGTATATAAAATTTTCAATTATTCAAAACTCTGCGTTTTTCTACAACCACTGTCCTTACGTATTTGGCACAAGTTTCTTGATTTTATGTTTTAAAGCTCGTATCTCAAACTGATTTGACTTTCCAACTTTTTAAATTCGAGAGCCACTTATGAGTCTTATGCAGTCTGTCGTATCGATCGTTAAACAAAATACAGCACACGGAATTGATTTAACCGAAAAAATACTAATATCCGTATGCATCAATTAATTACTGTTCCATCATGTCCATGTAGTTCCCACTATTTCTACCACAGTAGACAAACAAAGGGAGTCTGTATAAACCACATTTTTTCTCTCTAAAACAAAGTTGTGTATTCATGTTAGACTCATGTAAGAGTAGCGTTTCCACTGGTCGGATAGTGATAATAAATTGAAAAAGAATTCAAATTGTTTATTTAACTTTTGTAGGGGTTTAGTAATTAAATGGCATCAAGACGCCAAAACAGATTCACTTTAAGAAAGGATGAAACCTTAAACAATGCCAGTAATGAAGATGTATGTAGAGTAGTTTCTAGCAATCAAGAGGACGACACTGAAAGCGAAGACAGAAATGATGATGCAAACACAAGTAAAATTATCTCTCATGCTAAATTAAACATATTTAAAAGGATCAATGGTTAAAAAAATTGAACATATGGGTGCTGTTTTGTCTTTTATCTTGAAATTTATAACATATATAGAACAACCATCTACAAATACATGTAAGTCTATATAACACCCAAAACGGTAATGGAATTTGTATAAATTTCTTATAAGAGTTGATATCCTTAAATGGCAATTTTATATACAAATTTGCGTTTTTGCTATTTTCTTGAAACTCTAAACTTCATACATGATCAAAAATATAACACCTCGAATAAGTAAAACTTAACCGAAATGGTCATTTGACGCATAATGGAACGTTCATATGAGAGTTATTGCCCTTTAATGATGATTTTTATCATATTTTGCATAGTTTTCCATAAACTATAGTAGACAAGGAAAAATTGAAAACAGCAACAAATGACCAGCAAAACAAAATCTGCAAATTTATTAACACATCTGAAAATGTCAATCGACTTACTACTAATAGAGATTTCCAATAAAATGACATTACTCGACATAACCAACCTATCTGACCGTATCTCGGCTTATTGCATTGAAGAATGACGGAGGGGAGCATAGACTGTATGAATTTTTGGCTCGTTGAATACACATACTTTGTTGGAATAGATGCTATTTAAAAATTAGCACAATCTGCTATTTTAATTCTTTACATATTTTGTTATTAGATTTGGGATGATTTTATTGACAACAAACTTTAAAGGGAATAATTAATTCGGTTACCGGTAATCAAATGCACCGATCATTACTTCGTCATTTATTTGACCCATATATGTATCTCTCAAAGGGTGAATTCTTAAAGCTACTTAATCAAAATTAAGTGAAAAAATAAAAATAATGGAATCTGAAGCGAGAAGATATTCTCATTTTTTATTTATACGTTATAAAATTAAAACATGAGTTTTCAAACACGACGGGATGTAAAAGGTGTACACGACTTGCTTCTTCTATTTTTTAGCATACTAATGATAATTCAAATCACTGTTGCATCTTTCTGCTAGTACTTTGTCACCTTTCCGTAGAATTTTATCAAATGGAATTTATGAGGACGAATCTTCAAGACAAAATATGATCACACTTTAATGAATCAGTTAATGTTTTTACTTTTTGTTTTTCTGAAATATTTGGCGTCTAAGGTTCATTTGGACCCATTGGCTAAAATGGCTGCATTGTCACCCCAAAATTTACTCTATGTACAGACAAACCTGCGCATCTGGAAAAATTTTAAGGCATAGCATGCCCTAGATAAAAAAAACTTCTAATGCATTGTATGTTTTAGAAAATTTAAAACTTGACTGGATTTTGCAGTGCACTTTTTTTCGTCCCTGCAGAAGATGATAAAATAAACAAACAGTCGAGTTTCACTTGATATGGTCCACTCAGGTACACAGTTTAAATCACCAATTATTGTCAGGTATCTATTGTCCATCTCTTGTCCATGTCAATCAATACAGTTCACTTCAATTATTACCTGTGGGGAAGTTCTCAAACCTCTTTCCCAACTTAGTTTATTTTGGCACCTTCTGGAGGAATGAAAAAAAGTGCACTGCAAAATCCCTTTAAGTTTTTAATATTATAAAACATAAAATATATTTGAATTTTATTTATCAAGGGCATGCTTTGCCTTTAAACTTTTTTAGATGCACAGGTTTGTCTGTACTCAGAGTAAATTTTGAGGTAAAAATGCAGCCATTTTAGACGAAGGGTCCACATGAACCTTAACTTATGCAAATATGTAAGAAAAACGGACATGTACGGAATATTTCATTAAAGTTTTGTTAAGTAAGATGATCATTTTAGTTGTATGACCAATTTATGATAGCGAGGGATGTTATATTTACTGGTCTGTGCATCCTTCCTTTCTTCCGTTCCGTTCAAATATAAAATTTTTAAAATTATATACCAAATTAGAGTTTGAACCGGATTAAGTGGTGCACTGAACATGGAAATATGAGCATGTGAAGGGGCACTGTGTCTTAAGGCCACATATTCATAGTGGGGACGTTAAATCCGATGCCTCTTGTAGAGAGAATGCCACGCTCTCTGTGCACATTAAATATGAATGAAATATTTGCCACTAGAATTTATGCAACCAACTATCAATCAATCGACAGTAGTGTAACTTGCATTTTATTTCTGGTGAAGCAGATGATTTGTATCTTGGCAGTCAAAGCCTCAACTTGGTTAAAAGACGTCAATGCCAGTAGAGAGTGGACGGTTAATTGAAAATCTGAATTGCAAAATAGTTTTCAGCATTTGCAAATGCAAGAAAAATTATTATTTTAAGCGCGTTTGATTGATTAATTAATTGATTGTTGTTGTCGGACATTAAAAGACGAAAACTGCATGCATATTCAGGACAAGTAAAACAAAATAATACCATAGATATGCATACTAGGTCGACCATGATAATAGCATAAATTTCTATCGTACCTGGAAAATGAGAGCATGTTACAAAAGTGCAGACATGTTGTCTTTCAACAGCCCCCTATGGATCCCTTGTTCTGTTCCGCGTAGAACTAATGTACGCACCTACATTAGATTTGATTAGACGTCCCCACTGCTACTCGACGTGGCTGTGTATTTATGCATCCTGGACAACCAAACGGACGACCTTTTTAAGCATGTTATAATGTTGAATGCAATCTTGTATAGAGTACATACTGGTACATCCCGCAACGCTAAGGAAACACCAAAAAAGGGGGTGGATGGTAGGTGACCATACTCTTGATAGGTCACATACTAGCACAACGATCTTGTCTATGAAAAATAAATCCAGATTTGTGAAATTTTATTATGAAATAATAATATTTCGAATTCGCATTAATCAATATATTTCAATGAAATGAAATACATAATTAATACGAAATTACATCAACTAAAATCATATCAATTGAATAAATGACAAAGAATAGCAAAGATGGGGAGAAAAAATCTGCCACAAATCCACGCTTAGGTTGAAAGAGTGGATCCCCTACCCGAGGACTCTGGCGACGTGAATACAATTTATATATAACTTGTTAGAATTTGGAAGCAAAACAATCACATACACAAAAAATTAACACTATATTTTTGTAAAACATTTCCACATTGAGGTGAAACATTAAAAGTTCATATAATCATAAACCTACATATATTACTTTTAAATTATCTTTTGCTGATAAACATGATTAAAGGTGTAAATCTTATTCCGGACAGGACCACAGCAATAAAGTTACAATAATCATAGTTATTAAGTATATGTATTCACATTTCGTCTTACATCTACACATCTAATAACATAATCCCCAAAATATTTTAGGCTTGTTTTAGTACAGAAAATTTGTACAGCAATTAGCCGAAAACATGTTTGCCTCATTTGAGAGATCTGAAATATCTCTCCATAATTATTGTATACTGGACAACTAATAATACAATGTTGTTCATCTTTAATCTTCAAACAAAATAAAAGTACATTTTTACAAAGCCCTGACTTTTTTCTAAATAGGAAGTTTTATATCTGACTCTTTCTATCATGGGATCATGGGCACTGATTCTCATTTTACATTTGGCATTTTTCAATCGAAATTGTATAAAGATAGATAAATTTCTTAAGGAAAACAAGTTTTTAAATTGAAATAAGTATCTAATTTAGAACTTTTTTACTCTCAGTTAATTTTTGTTGTGTTCCCAATTGATATGAGACTTTAGAAAGTTTTTGCTCAACTGATGACTTGATAAAAAAGTTAAGCTTTACATCACAATTTTGAATATTCAGCTTTTTAAAAATATAATGAATGGGTGAATACCAGCATTCGATATTAATAGTAGTATTTCATATTGATAATACCACTATAAACTATAACGGGAATGTACCAAATTTACTTAGCACTGCTAAGCTAGAGGACTTTTAATTTATACTTAAAATACACTATATTTACATCGGGAATTTGTTTTTTCTAAAAAAAAAAAGGAAAATTAAAACGTAAATAAAAAAAATAATAATAAATATCATTGCTACAAATTATTGAAATAAATATTCATTTTCTTCCTGGCATGCTTCAGATTTTGTTCTGAAAATACCTGTACTGTCACTGCCATACATTTAAAAAGGTTTATATTGTATCATAAAAGTTTTGGCAGGCAATGCTGACTCAAAACAAGATAAAATTGAGAATGGAAATGGGGAATGTGTCAAAGAGACAACAACCCGACCACAGAACAGACAACAGCAGAAGGCTACCAACAGGTCTTCAATGATAGTTGTAATTGTATGAAATAAAGATCATAAACGTTTTGGCAGGCAATACTGGCCCAAAACAGAAGCATAGCATTTTATTACTAAAGATCATATAAACGTTTTGGCAGGCAATGCTGACCCGAAACAAGATAGTTGTAATTGTATGAAATAAAGATCATAAACGTTTTGGCAGGCAATGTTGTCCCAAAACAAGATAGTTGTAATTGTACGAAATAAAGATCATAAAATATTTCGGCAGGCAATGCTGACCCAAAACAAGATAATTGTAATTGTATGACATAAAGATCATAAACGTTTTGGCAGGCATTACTGACCAAAACAGCTCAAGCATAAAATTCTATTACTAACTTAATCCTTTTTATCCTGTAAATTTCCATAAACGCATTCGACTTCAATCCTTGAATCACGGAGACGAGAATTCCATCCATTAGCTGCAGCAGAAGTCTTTTTTCTAAAACTAGGTGCTGTATAGTACCGAGAGTCGAAATCAATTAACGACAGATCAAACTTTAAAGAGGTGGTGGAATAAGAGCGTGCAACTGGTGCTTCAGACTTTCATTAGAACTAGGGTCCAGTTGTGTTTTCAAATGCTGATCGAAGACACCTTTTGTAAATTAGTATTGATAAAACAGTCAAAGTAGACTTTGGTCAGTCAAGGATTATTGTTGATACGACTCGCACGTCCAGATCAAAATTCTAATCTCAAAATTAAGTATTTGTCATAAACGTCAGTGAAACAGCAACCCATCAACATTCGTATGTTTGTATTATTGGAACTATGGCATACCACTGATATATATAAAGGTATATGTAAGTTGTTGATATCACGCTTTATTGCATATTTCCTTCAATCGGCGAAAGTTCTTACGTAGATGAATACCAGACTCAGCGCTCTTTGTCCATAGTTAAAACATGAAATAAACAAAATTAAAATGTAAAATAATGAAAAACAAAAACTGTCATTATATAACTAACTCGTTCTAACTCTAGAACAACAAACATTACACATGTTACGGTATACTATGCGATAATTTAATTTTTTTTTCTTCAATCAATCAACCATTAAACATATATATCATGCATTAAATGGAGAGTATAAACTTTAAACTATTATCAGTGTATTGATAACGTATGTCTTGTCCATTGTTATTTTTAATGAAACTGTTGGTTAAAGGTTTTATTCTCAGTATTCATTTAAAAAATAGGTCCTGATAAAAATAAAATAATTGACAGAATTTTATGTATGACCTCCTCTTAAATGCTTTTGTACAGATTTGGGAATAATAAAGTTTAAGTTCCACTATGTCTTTTAACTTTATACGTTTAGCTTTTGTCAAAATGCATGGAATATAATAACTAAGAGCAAAGATTGGTCGGTCCAGAATCAGAATCATGTGTCCGGGTAGAGTGATATGTCTTCCTGCGTTATAATACAAAGTCTGGTTCATATTCATCTTCTCGTCCTAAATATACATAAAATACATATGCAACGAACACTTAAATGCATGGCCCTGTATCCTAAAAATACTTATATTTCAGCGTTGCTGAAAATCGTCATATTCTACACTGCATTGGGAATTAAACGTCGAAAGAGAGCTGTTTTGACTGCATAGCGCATCAAAAGGAGGATTTAGGGGGTGGGGCATGTTCCACTTTTAACGTTGCCTAGATCCCCCTTTTTTCAAAATCCTGGATCCGCATCTTGCAACGAAATCTTATTATCTTATGTTGTTCTATGTTTCTTACCTAAAATATTTCAGTTAATGATTTATGTAGTAAAACGAATTAGGTGACCCCCATTAATTGTTTATCAATAAATTGGATAAAATACTATAAGTTGATTTACTTCAAGGGATATTAAAAAAAATTGCCTGGAAATGTCTCCGATAGCATTCTTGTTAAACAAAACAACACATACATGAAATATCAATCCTTAATCGAGCACACCTTCTACAATACAACTTATATAGGGAATTTTTTATCAAACACATTTTATAATAAATGAAAAAAAGTAAACACTTTTGTTAGAAATTAAATGGAAGCGATAGTTTTATTTCAATTTTCAACTTTTATAAAGAGACAGATTCTGACAAACACTGGTTTCGATATTTCTGAAATAGTCAGAAAATATCCTGCTAAATTTTTTCCCCGCAACAAATGTAATAAAAAGATGGATAAAGAAAAGCAAGAAAGAAAGAAAAACATCGGATAACGAAAAAAAAGGCATAATGGAGCGTTCATCAGCAAAGTATATTGAAAAATAATTGTCATTATCAAAAACCATGAAAGATAACTCAACTCAATCGTATGATAGGTATGGGATACGTGTATTTCTACGTGATCTTATGTCAGTGAAAATAAAGGCGGGAATCTGGAGAACCACGTGATAAATATAAATTCAAGATTTCATCATTTTTCGTCATGATAAAATTATTTTATATGGCCGAAAATTCCAGTGTGGGATTTTAAAAGTCTTGGAATACTTGATTTAAACTTGAGCGACATATTTAATCAAATTCAATGATTGGCAATAACCAGTCCCATAAGGCCCGTACGTCGAGTTACGTACGTATGTCATTTTATTAGAAATCTCTAATAGACATTAATGCCTTAAAGATAATTTTTACCTAATGTTTTCATATTATGTAAAAACAAAACTAATAGTTAATAGATGGAAACTGAAAACAGAAAACAATATCAGTAAAACAAGACCCCGTAAAAAGAGATTTATGTCATGAATAATATTCTAGTCTTTAATGTTGGAAAGTGGCCATTGTTGAAAATGCACTTAAATCAAGGTTAGCGACAAACTTTATATATCTCTACCTCATTTTTTTTAATTCTAGCTATTGTTCTGATCATCATAATAAATGACTAACAAACCAAGATCTACCAATACGGCAAACTCGTCCATTTTTGGGGTTTTTTCCTTTTATCTTGAAAAAGAATTATAGAGAGAAATTAAAAACAGCACAAATGAACAAAAAGACAAGATCTACAAATAAGAAAGTGCCAACATGACAGAAATTGTCATTAAACTCCTTACAGAAAAAATGCCCTTATAAAATGACAATGCTTACCTATGTTTGCTTTTATGGCTATAATCTTGAAAACCATACATAGATAGAAGGACATTTTATAAGCAGCAGCATTGACCAGCAACACACGGCCTAAAAATGAGTCAAAGGATTAAAATTTTCTCTATTGTCGTAAAATGACAGTTCAAACGATTTTTTTTTGGGGGGGGTTGTCTTTTATCTGGAAACTATATAAGATACCGATAAACTGGAAAACAGCAAATAGGATCAGTAAGAAAAGGATTTTGAAATAAGTCGCATGTTAATAGACTAGACATTTGGGGTATATTTGTCCTTAAATGGCGTATGTCACGTATTTGGTTTTTGGGTTTGTTCATTTTATGTTTATTTTATTTTTTATTTTTGGCGGGGGGAGGTGGTGGATAAACTCTTTTGGACTGTTTCCTTGAAAACTATCATCGATAGAAAGATACTGTAACAGCAAAATTAATACGCAATACAAGATATATTGGTAACAGGAAAATCAATAGGTTGAAATCGTCAGTTCACTCCTTGTAGGGGTAATTTTTCTTTAATGACTTAACACTTTTTAAAATGTTTTCAAAGAGGGTCTGGATCAAATCTAGTCACACTTATACTCATTGTGTAAAAATAGCTGTACATGGAGTTGATGTTTAAGGGTTGTAATGTTGCATTTTTCTGCACGATGAGCGATTCAGGCTCTTGGCCGTCTTTCGTTTTCAAAGCTCGTTTATTGTTTTGTTTTTTAAAATGAAACTTTCCTCTTTAGTCGTGAATGATTCTACGATGTTTCTGACTGGTTAAAAATTTTCAGAGAAACGACATATTGTTAAATTACTAAGTTTATTATTAGCTCAACATATTATAAGAGTAACGAGAAAAAAACTGATGCAAACTTTTGGGGATACTAATCCAATCGAGGTCAAGGCCAAAGACTGGTATCGGTTCAACGATAGTAAAATAGATGAAACCAACCGAACTTGAATCTTTCAAATCTGATTGCTTGATATAACTTTGTATGCAAACAAAACTTGTATTGTTTAAATTTATTTCAATCATTTTCTTATTAAACAGGAAACAACACCCGAGACAAATCAAACATGAGTCGAGTTACTTGGAATGGACACATGGTAACCTCCATGGGAAAGTCAACACGACTTGGCAGTTCTCTACATGGAACAAACATGTCTACAATGATGACAAATAAACAGTATCGTACTGTTGTTGGTATTGAAATCACAAACTGGACAAGATATCACCTGACTAGTCCTGAAGTAAACATACATTCAGGTTATATTTCAGTGCCGCCTGTTTCAGTTCAACCTGGACACAAAGAGAGTATGGTAAATATTTTAGTATCGATTACATTTACTAATACCAAAAATTTTAAACAAGAAATTAAATCCTCGTATTTCATTTATTTGATAAATGTATTTATCCAATATAAAAATGAGCTGTATGATTTCCAGTGAGACAACTCTCCACCAGAGACTATATGACGTATAAGTTAACAACTAGAAGTACTATAAGTTATGTTTTATTAACGTAAAAGCTATTTCTAGTAAGTGCAAATAAAGTTCTATCTAGAGCAGTCACAATTTTTACTATAATCTACACATTTCTGTCAATAATCGACTTTGCTTGGTTTATCGGTCTCTGTTGATCTATGCACCTGTCCTAAGTCAGGAGCCTGTTGTTCAGTAGTTGTCGTTTGTTGGTGTGTTTCATAGGTGTTTCTCGTTGCTTGTTTCTTATATAGATTAAACCGTTTGTTTTCCTGTTTGAATTGTTAACACTAGTCATTTTGGAGCCCTTTATAGCTTGCTGTTCGGTGTGAGCCAAGGCTTCGTGTTGAAGGCCGTACTTTGACCTATAATTATTAACTTTTTATACATTGTGACTTGGACGGAGAGTTGTCTCATTAGCACTCATACCACATCTTTTTATTTATATTGTATGAGGTTCCATCGAAAAATAGTGCGTTGGTCGAGTAAACTAAATGCTGTCTCTCGAGACAAATGAATAAAACAAATGTCATAACTCGTGTTGCTCAGTCTTTCATGAATTTGAATGTCCCTTTGGTACAATGTATCTTTCGCCTCTGTTTGAAAGGATTTCATCATCGTCACGTATTTATGTTTGTCCAGCATGCGACAAAGTTCTTGGCGTCGTACAAGCGTTCTCATTAACAGGTTCAGTCTGCACTTGATTTAATTTTAAGACATCTACAACTTTGTCAATCTTTCACGGTAGTTTACGAACATTGAAAAGGGTCTTTTTAGTGACTTAGATACAGAATCTGAATCAAAATTTTGTTTTTTTTTTTTCGTTTTTTTTTTTCGTTTTTCCATATTTTACTCATGCATGGGTGAATGTTTTTTTTTTTTTGCAATTAATAAAATTAATTTAAATCATATAGTAACACAAACATTTTTTTTTTCAAACTAAGTCTTTCACCTTTCCTTTATATTTGAATAATTTTTGCATATGTTTCGTTATTAGTAGTTCGACATTAACAATGAAAACAAAATTAATTTATCAAATCTATTCGTCTAATTTACATACATGAACCTTAGTGTAAACATATTTTATTAATTAAATTCAAGTTAAGTAATGTACACAATTTGGCATTTACATATTTATACAATTGAATAATTAATAGGACCCGGAAACAAGCTGCTAACTTATATTAATCCGTTTCCTACATGAACCTTGATCGCAACTTTTATCTACTTTTCGTAATTTTTATTCTTTTATTATTTTTTTATTTTGACTTGGAAATGTATTGCTACTAATGAGAAATTAGTAGCAAATTAACACACGAATCATTTCTATTTCAAATGTAACTAGTGTGAACAGCTTCTTTACAAGAACATCTAGATATGCATAAGAGATGTATGGCATAACACAATGAGTTAAGTACCTTACTCCTATCACAACAGTAAAATCAAAAATAACATTTAAGGATCAATATAGAACGGTCTTGAGTTAGACAATAATCTTGCCAAACATCAACCCTTAAGTCAGCCCGAGTCTATAGCTTAGTCCAGTTGTCAAGGAGCTTATTGTCGAGGGGTATTATTCATAATTTTAAGGCGTCGTTTTTTTTAATATTACAGATGAATAAGTTATTTACTTTGTTGCCATTGAGGAAATGTATGCTATTATTTAACAGCGTCACACTGCTGTAGGCCATGGTGGACTGCATAAAACATACAATGACCTGAAAAAGCATTATGCCAACACAAGCCGTGAAGCAATAAAAACATTTCTGCAACTTTGTGATCACTGCGCTCTAAAGAAAAAAAAAGTTTTGAGCTTTTGATTATTGTTCTTTATTATTCAATTAATTTCAAATGCATATTCTGCTTTATCTAAATTTATTTTCAATTTTGTACAAGTTAAAACCATTTTTAGGCAATATTTTGTACATGTTATAACTTTTGTACATGTTATAACTTGTAGTTTTGCATTGCACAAGTTAAAACATGTATACTATTTCTGTACATGTTATAACATGTACAAAATCGCAACTTGCACACGACATATAAACACCGTAAGATGGTGCCAAAGGAACATCATCATCCAAAAAAGGAAAATTAACAATAGGGAACGAAAAATTATCCCTTTGGTCATATATTTAGAAAATTCTAGATTATTTAACGAAAAAATATAAAGATAACCAAACGCGCTGTAGAAATTATCAATTAAATGCAATGTAGACGGGTCTTTACTGAGTTTGGTAATAAACTGTGATACATAACAACACAAGAACAAGTCTGTTATTAAAGGGGCGCAATAAGTGCCCATAGGAATACCTACAACCTGTCGATACACTGTATTGCCCAAACGTACTTAAATGTTATCAAAGAGAAAACTAACCGCTTCAATCTTCCCATCATACCTCCAGTAAGTATATCTAAAATTGAGAATGGAAACGGGGAATGTGTCAAAGAGACAACAAACCGACCAAAGAGTAGAAAACAGCCCAATGCCACCAATTGGTCTTCAACACAGCGAGAAAATCCCGCAGACGAAGGCGTGCTTCAGCTGGCCCATAAACAAAAATGTGTACTAGTTCAGCGAAAACGGACGTCACACTTAACTCTGAAACATATAAATGAACCAAAATTCAACAAAAACATACAAGACTAACAAAGGCCCGAGGTTCCTGACCTGCATATTTACTTTTCTCATTAGAGAAGAAGGCCTGAAATGAGTTGCAGCAAATATATTTGCAATCCGATTTTTCGAACGACCCCGTCTGTCTGTTCGTTACACTTTCTTGTTTACGCAATATTTTTAGTGAATTGATTGTTTGTTTATTAAACATAAAGTGACAAATATTACATAAATATTCAGGACGACAGCGAATTAGCAAATAATCTGATTGTTAGGTTCTGAAACCTGGGTCGACCGGGATGGAGGACGACAAAATTAGGATGTCACTTGAAAATGAGGGTACATTGTACACTTATAATGACAGAAATTTTGCCATGCAACAGGTCTTCCCCGAACCCATTAAACAGTTGTTGCAAAGGCACCATGACATGCAGTGAGCGTGCATTTTCCACACATGAAGCATCGTACTTAACGTCCCCATTCTGCGTATAAATTATACATCCCGCAAAACCCACTCCCCTACTTGAGCATAGGCTGTAATACCGGAGGGGGAGACGTCCTGGTGACATTATTTCTATACCTCGATGAATCTTTGGGGTGAACTTAAAAGACGCATTTTGGTTGCTATTGGTCTATAGGATAAAACATAGGAATAGTCCGACGCACATGGCTTCGTGTGGGATTACGTTCTGATAAAAACGAACAATTGAATAGTAAGAAAAATATGATTCAATATATATATGTGTGAATACATAATTCGTCTAAATAACAGCCCAACAATGTTAGCTCTGTAAATTTGCGGAAGCAATTTTTTGGTCTTCCCTGGCCGGGATTCGAACTCATGCTACTGAGATATCATGGCACCAAATCGCCTTGCACTATGCCCGACGCGCTAGACCACTCGACCACCTAGGCTCGACTAAAATCAAGCTTTCGGTGGTCGGGTGTTACCTTTTCTCGTCAGTATTTATCTAGCGTCATAACACAGTACATGATATATAAGGCATGAAGATGGAATATTACAGATCAGCTGAATTATCTATCGTAGAGGATCTTACAAATTAATGTAGGATGCAGTCACAGAAAGAATTATATTATAAGTACGTCTGAACCAGTGACAACTTTACGACAGATTTTATCCATCAAATCACTCGTGATGGTTGATACAAGGCTGAAAACACAATTTTTTGTTCTTCACTGGCCGGGATTCGAACTCATGCCACTGAGATCTCGTAGCACCAAATCGCCTTGCACTAAAGATGTGGTATAATTGCGAATGAGACAACTCTCCAGAAGAAACTCAGACCAGAACCCTAATGAACATTTTGTATTGTATACAATGAACTTTTCAGATGTCAAAATGTAACCAATGTTTTGGTTTTCGTTGAATTTCTTTCTATATTAATAAAACTGATTGATTAGAAAACATTTATTTTGCTTAAAATGTATATTCGGAAATAAAGTTTACTATCATAAGATTGGTTCTCCGATGTGGACATAGTGTGTCTTTATCATCGAAGGTTTCTAACTTAACTTTATAAATTTCGATATATAACATGCAACTCTATAAAATTTTTCAATACTAAATTCAAATATTAAAAAGAAAATTTTGAATATACAGGTATTTCGATATTTTTCGATGTGTAGTTTCATCTGATTTACATTTAAAGACTTTTCTTCAGATAGCACACAAGCACGCCTACACAATGACAGGGTCAAGTGGAATTGTTTCATGGTTAATAAGAAACAAAGAAAGACGGGTAGTGATCGTGTGGAGATCGCCATTTTTAGCCAGCAATACCATGGCAGTTTGTTTGACTACAGTAGGAAAAGACAATCATGATAGTTCCTGGTTCAATATAATTACACAACGGAAAACAGATGCGAATCTCAAATATGAATGTTTTACTTATGACAATGTGATTAAGGAAATAATGATAGAAGATGACGGTTTTCAAATATGTGGTTCGATGGGAACCAGTCATAAACCGGAAGTCAAAATAACTGTCCGGCCAACAAACAGGTTAGACCTGTCTATCGCCGATGGGATACAATAGCCGCTAAAAATGTTTCTAATCAATAAATCAGCAGCTGTGATTTTGATGCGGGAGATGTCGCTAACAATAATCTGCAAAATATCCACAACAACTAATATGAACTTAAGTGTTTCTCGTTTCTCGTTTTTTTATATAGATTAGACCGTTAGTTTTCCTGTTTGAATTGACTAACACTAGTCAGTTTGCGCTCTTTATAGCTTTCTGTTCGGTGTGAGCCAAGGCTCCGTGTTGAATGCCGTACTTTGACCTATAATTGTTAACTTTTTATACATTCTGACTTGGATGGAGAGTTGGCTCATTGGCACTCATACCACATCTTATTTATATTACATTAATTTTCCTGCGTTTCGGCTCGTACATGTAATTGCGGGAACATGTCTATATTAACGTGTGTTAAGCGGGTATTGTTCAATTAAAATTGCTTTGTTGTCAAATTGATTAAAGGTAAACGGTATACACTAAGAGAATATTTAATGGTTTTATCTCTATTTCTTTTGAGATCGCCTTGGCCATTGGTACGGGAAGGAACTTTATTAGTTGTTTGTAAATGTTCAGTGAAGGAAATGTATGGAATTTTACTACAAATGTAATGTATGAAATAGTTATTATATACAATTACTAGTATGTTGAATGTTGTATAATAAGTTCCGACGTCCAGCGTACTTGACGGGCTAGTCGGCAAACTTTATTTTGTATTTAATTTGTATATTGTTTATGCAAAGCGTTCATGTTCGAAGGATTTAGATTTGTCCGTCGTTAACTGAGGCCATACATTTTGCTATTATACTTTTCCAGTTCTTAACTGGATACTAATTACAATTCTTGTTTTTTGGCTTGAGTTAATTTGAAAAACAATAAATATGAATATTTCAATACATATTTATAAATATAAGGAGATGTGGTATGATTGCCAATGCGATGTCTACTGTACACACCAAAGACCAAGGTACAAAGATGAAAACAACTACAGGTCACTGTACGGCATTCAACAAAGGACAATAACTCATACATGTATCATATAATAATCTATAACAACAACAAAAACGATTTAGTCGGTCTAGTACAAAGCAGTATTGCATTAACATGTTTTCGTCTTGAATATGCATATTAATTTGCTGCTTGACGTTAAGCAGTCATCATCATCATCATCATCGTCGTCGTCGTCGTCGTCGTCGTCGTTGTCGTCGTCGTCGTCATCATCATCATCATCATCATCATCATCTTTTCAGTAAAAAAATTAAAAAAAATATTGACTTATGTTGTCATGTCATCAAGAACCAAAACAATCATATGACAAAAAGATGTTACAGTCAACATATGATTACGGAACTGTCAGGAAACAAAGGTGAGCTAAATATTATCTTCTTTTTACATATATCATAGCATATCTGTCATAATATTCTATAAGACAGCTTGAATTTGTTTAATAACTATAGAATCAATAAACAATTTTGAATGAAAATTAAGTAGTGCTCGACTATATATATACGAGTAGATGCAGTAAATGAATAAAAGTTCTGATTTAACAGCCTTTTGAAAAAAATAACGATAATTTTGTATTTTCATTTTAGTTGAAGTTGACTTCCGAACTGACAAAAAAGACAAACGATTTCAATGTTACAGATTTCTAAATTAGTAATAAAATGCAGCAGATAATTTATTATGAATTGAAATATTAATATATTCATACATATCATATGTTTGAAATCAGATCAATAAGTTTATTTCAGCACCTCCTTCAATTTATGCCAGAATAAAATGTTACCTAATGGATCATTAGGATACTCAATGTACGACTGCTTATGTACTTTTTCAATAACACATAAAGGCAAATTAATTGCTGACAAGTCAACAAGAGAAACAAGGATAAACATATTTTCGCAATTTCTTGAATATATGCTCTCCATTCGTGCCATATTATATTCAAACATACACCAGTATGAATCAAGATAGGTCTGAGATAATACTGCAACCACATTTCGACTATTGTGAATTCCAGAAGTAATGTTTGCGGCAATATCCTTACCTGGTTGAAAATCTCTCTTGTGGATACACAATTTCAATTTTGCATCTTCTTCTAAATTTGAAAGAAGATGATTATGTACAAAAACTGCATCTTCCTCTTCATATGAGATAAAAGTATCGTATTCGTACTCCTCGTCATCGCACTTTTTTCGTGAGGAATTTTGATATTTATTCTTTGTCATATAATACATGAATCGTAATGTCCACCTGTGTCTATAGACTAAACCGCATAGCAAGATCAACACAAAAAATATAACGAAGATTGACAGTACAACAATTAAGTCTGTGTAAGAGGAACACTTCTTTTCTAGAATTTCATATACCCTTTTTGGTTCTTTCAATAATTCCTTGTTGCCGTTGTACAATTTGCATTTGTTACTTTCAAATTGTAACTTTGTAAATTTTATTTTTGTTTGTGACATCCATTTGACAAATTGTATGGTATCACACGAACATATCAAAGGATTATCACTCAAATCCACTGTCAAGTTTGGATTTGACTTTATAATCGTTTCAAGTTGACCACGTGCCCTCGAATTTAGACTTGAAAATCTATTCTTTGAGAGATCTAAATGCGAAAGATTTTGCATATGACTTATTTGAAAACTCAAATCCTCCAGTAAATTACCACCAATGTTGATTTCATTGAGCATTGTCTGAAATTTGAAAAAGTTGTATGGTAAATACGGTATTCGATTGTCTGCTAAATTCAATACTGCCAGCTTAGGAATATGCTGCAGAATTTCACCATGCATGTCATCGATGAGAACAAATCCCAGTAAATTATTATGTATAAGTAACGATTTTAAATTCGGGGAACTCTTGAAAACATCCTTTGACACGTTGGAACAAAAATTGTTTGAAAGATCAAGGTGAATTAGTTTCTTGTAAGTAAGCAGAGGTCCAATCCAGGAATAAAAAAGATTAAATCCAAAATCGAGATATGCTAATGAATTCTCTGACACATTATTTGCTTCTATTTTAAATCGAAACAAAGTGTTTCTGAAAATAAGTTTCTGTAATTTGGAAGAAATATTAAACGGCAGTGTATTGGGTTTCAATTGTCCATAACGTTGTACTTCATGTTGATTAGGTGTGTTCGATAAAACTGGTAAAGGATCTGTTTGGTCCTTTTTTACACATATTTCACCATAAAAATCCTGAAGATCATGACTGTTGAACTGAAGTGAGATATTTATGAAAGTTATTGGTACTACGTAAAATTCAGAAAAATAACTTCCAAAATGAAACATATTGTCCGATAAATATACACTTCTTAACGTGAGTGGAAGATATGATAAGGCACCCTTCTCGAAAAGCTGAATTCTGTTGCTATCCATGTGCAACTCAGTTAGATTTGTGTGCCTTAAATGACGAATATGTGATTTTAAAACAATTGTATCGGGCTCAAAAGTTCGATGTATTTTGTTTAATTTCAGAATCTTGATAGACGTTGTTTGAAGATCATAGGTAATATTCTCTGCCCCTGCAAATTTAAGGCAAAAGTTAAAAGAGGCGTCTAAAAATGTCAGGTTTGACATACATTTTAATGTTCCTCTAATGATATAAGATATTTTACAAGCGGACATATCAAGATGTATTAGATTTGGAATAGTTTGAAAGGTTTCCGGAGTCATTGTTTTACATTCGCATTCACCAGACAATCCAGAAATGTCCAATGTTTTCAGATTAATAAGTCCTTTAAAACTGTTAAACATATGGTCTTGTTCTAGTATTTTAAAGTCCATTCTCAATGTTTGCAAGGAATATGGAAAAGTTATATTAAGTTTCAGCCAATGAAAATAATTATTCTTCTTAATGTTTAAATATTTCAGAGCAGGTATGGACTTAAAAAAATTTTCGTCTACATCTTTTATTTCGTTGTTGTAAAGCGTCAATTCTATAAGGTTATAGGCTCCATAAAATGCGTCTTTCCTCAAAACTGTTCAGTTTATTATTCATTAAACTAATATTACATAGTTTATTGTTGTTTCTAAAATGATAATCTGGTATAGTTGTTATCAAATTGTTATCCAATATAACCACTTTGATACTTTTTGGAAAATCTGGAATGTGCATTTGAACAATCTGCTTTATAAACTTGTTTACAAGTATTGAAGAAACTGTTTTCAAACTCGCATTTTCTGCCAGCTACACACCCAAAGTAAAGCAAGAGAGCAACTGCATTGCAAAGATATCCCATAAGTGGTATGTGTCTGTAAATAAAAGATATATATGATCTATATTAGGGGTGTCAACGAGTACTCGAGTATTCGAGTATCGCCCGGTATTACCGAGTATCTAATACTAAAACGATATTCGACTAATCGGTTTCCTTTCAGAATATTGCTGTCTTCTTTATATAAAACTGAGCTTTTTGAGAACCTCTTTCGGCAAATTAAATAGGCATCACTGATTAATCATACTAGTAAATAAAAAAACATTTTTTTCGAATGCTTGTGCTAAACTGTCATTTAAAATGCCTCCGAAAATACGTGGGCTATACCTAGAATAACACTTTAAACTAAACATGTCTTAGCTATTCCCTCACATCAGTACCATGAGAGCAAATGTTTTCGTCTGCAAAATTGTAATTTAAAAAATTGCAAACCGACTGTCCCCAATAATAGTTGACAAGAAAATGTTTCCAAATAAAATAAATTCGTTGCATACTCTGGTGACCCTCAGTGAATAGTGAAACTTCTAATCCTTGCGCCTTTGTAAACATTAAATGTGTTTTGTTTACGATTACCAAATACTATTGTTTTATATGGTTATTGTTGTTATAATTCTTAAATAAGTGTTCATTAAATTATATTGATTAGATTATTCTTTTTTTGTCTATTTTTTTTTTTTTTTTACATAATAAGTCTTTATAGGTAATGAACTATAAATTAAGGTGTGTAACTCCTTGTCCAAGATACTTATGTAAATCAGACAATTGGTAAAAATGACCATCAGGTCAAGATCTATCTGCCATGAAGTTTTCAGACGCATCAGACAACTCGCTGTTGGGTTGCTGCCCCTGAATTGGTAATTTTAAGGAAATTTTGCAGTTTTTGGTTTTTATCTTACATATTATTATAGATAGAGATAAACTGTAAATAGCAATAATGTTCAGCAAAGTACGATCTACAAATAAGCCAAGTGACCAAAATTGTCAGTTGACCCTTTAAGAAGTTATTGCCCTTCATAGTAAATTTTTCGTAATTTTTTGTAATCTTTTACAAAAATCTTCTCCACTAAATCTACTGGGCCAAATAAAATTAAACTTAGCTACAATTTTGAAATAGGGTATCTTGTTTGAAAAATGTATCTGATGACACTGTCATCCAACCAACATGGCCGCCTTGGCTAAAAAAAGAACATAGGGGTTTACTATAGAAGTCTAAGGGAAAATTGTAAAAAAAACTATTTCAAATGGTCACAACTTGAAAACTAATTTAAATAATGATAAAGGGTCTTCAGTAACTATTGTAAGACTACAATGGGATGACCTGCTTTTAATTTTTACTACTGGGCCAAATTAAACCAAACTTGGCCTCAATTATTATTAGGGTATCTAATACTATTAATTATGATTTTAACTTTATTTTACATGATTTCCAAAACAACAGTCGATACAGGTGACCGACACAGGCTCTGGAGAGTCTCTAGTTACAGTAAGCATTTAAAGACAGTCTGGGATAAAAAAAAGATTAACATGATAAATATGTAAACCTTCATGGATTGTTATGAAACTAAAATAGCATCTTAAGAAAAAGTTGAATATATTTTTATTTCTGTATTTTACTGATAAATGGACTCACCTTTTTAATTCAACATCAGAGGCGGATTTAGAGGGGACCAAGGGTGCCCGGGCCCCCCTTTTGGGTGAAAAATTTGGTTGACTATATAGGGAATCACTGAAGCATGACTGGAGCGGGCCCTCTCTTATGCAATCAGTGGGTCCCCCTCATGAAAATTTCTGGATCCGCCACTGAACATTACACTTTAACACTGACAGCAGCAATCGCAGGCGGGACACAGGGTTCCGCAGAACCCCTTATGAATTTTTAAATAAAAGAACAGAGTTTCAATGTCCCCTGCATTGCACATGTTTTATATGTTCTATGGCAATAACTAAAAAATCCTTTTATTTTTTGTATTGTTCCTTAAAACTTTCTCTAAATATCTTAGAGAAATAAAAGCTTGAGAGCAAATGCAATGCAATTTCCGATATAATTAATATGTCTAAGGGGTAAAGTATTTTAATAATATTTGATTTGCACTGATATTCGAAATTGTCTTAGACATTGCTTTAGGGGAATTCAAATGAAGCTAAACCTGATGGATTCAATTTTTGGTCATCATCATGCATTTCTCTCTTTTTTTCTTTTTTTTAAGACAAAAAAGGTCAATAATCATAAATAGTTGTGCATAGATTAAATGCAATAATTCCTCCTCCATAATTTCTTGAGCACACAGTATATAGTGATAGGGGAGTTTGTCATCAGATCTGATCCTTTGTCCTAGTGACCTGACCATCTTTTATATACGAAAATGGTCATGAATCCCCTGTTGTTTATCTGAATTATTTTTGGAGTTTACTTTTAGATGACATGGACTTTGTTATATCTGCAGACTAGAATACACATTTGTATTTGTTTTTTCTGCATAAACCAGTTCATAATTTATTAAAACTTTGCATATAATCCCATTTTGCATCTTTTTTTTATGCCCTAGTCATAACGGAGGGGGCATTAAGTTTAACCCTTGTCTGTCTGTACATCTGTACGAACATACGTCCCGAAATTGGTTTGCGTTCTCTAACTTTAGTAAAATTGCCTCAATCAAATTTTATGAAACTTGTAAAGAAATGCTTATTACAACACAAAACACAGATTAAGTTTGAATTTGGGTTGAGCTACTTTTACCTTTCCTTAGCTAGCTTAAGATATGCCCTTTAAAAATTCCTGAATTTTTCGTTTCCGTTCTCTTACTCAAGGTTTGCCTCAATCAAATGTTTTGAGTCTTATACACAAATTTTATTACCTAAAAAAAAAATCGAATTTGGATTTTGGTGACGTCACTTTTACCACTCTAGAGTTATGCCCCTTTACAAATAAAAAAATTGCTGAATTTTTCGTTTCTGTTCTTTAACTAAAGTTTGCCTAAACCAAATGTTTTGAAACTTATACACAATGCTTATAATACAACAAAACTCAGATCAAGTAGGAATTTGGGTAGCGTCACTTTTACCGTTTTTGAGTTACAAATGTATGTCCCTTTATAACGTTATATGCAGGGGTGGGGCATCACTTGTGTATCATGGACACATTCCCAGTTATTTTTTTTTTAAATTATTTTTAAGGTTTTCTTAACCAAAGCATGGACTTTGTCGTTGATTTATTTGGCGGAAGGGGATACCCATTTAGAATAT